GTAAATACAGTCACTAAACGTTGTAATGATAAACTTTCAATTCAGCGGATTAATTTTATAAAAAAAAGTAAAAATACGTACAAAAAGTGTAAGTAAGGTAGTGTTACGTGAAAAATTGCGTGCTCTACCGAACAACACTACTTATAATTCACCTTGCGAACAGCATTGCGTAATTTATTAGAATGGATTGGGTTTAGTTAGTTTTATTTGGTAAAAGTTACTTATAACTTTCAAATTTTTCTTCTTCTTCATCCTTCTGTATTTGGGCATAACTCTCCATCTTTTTCTAGGTCTTCTAATGCTTTTGTCATTCGGTCGATGTGCTCATTCCATTTCTTCTTTCTGTCCAATACCCAATCATTGATGTTATTTATCCAGCAAACCTGTCAAATATTCTCACTTCTTTCTCAGCCCATCAATATTTTCCCAACTATTCTACGATTTTCATTTCCGTAATTTCTAGCATTCTTTTTGTTTTGGATCTTTCTGGTCGAGTTTCTGCCACATATCTTAATACAGGTCTATTTAGGGCCTTGTATATTCAGGCTATGGTTTCAGTTCTAATATGTTTATTTCGCCATATTGTGTCAGTGATCTGATCGAATTATCTATGGTTTCACAAATTAATCAGCTTGACGTATAAGTCAAAACAAAATTAAAAATCTTGTACAATTTACCAAGAAGAATGATTTTACCAAAAGGATTTCATTGGGCTATAATACCAATAACGGGTTACATTATAGGCTCATTCTTGGATTACAAAGAATCCGAGCGATTGACTTTGTTCCGGGATAAAAGTGCTTTATATGGTGGAAGAGTGAAGGACGACGAACAACCAACTTGGCCGAGAAGTTATTTCTTTGGTGATATACGCGTTTAATGAATTATAAGTTACAATAAAAACAATATAACATGTATACCATGAGCTAGTGGCATTATTACCTATTTTCTACGTCTCTAAGAAAAAGAAATTAATGAGTTTTAATGTTGTTTGAGATCTGGGACGAGACCCGCCACCGTTGTACCGTAAGTGACATTGTTCCTCAAATATGCAGAAAATAAACCATAAACGTTCCTTTTTCGCATCGACTATGGGGGCCGGTTATTATCTTTTTATTTTAGCGAAGATAATCACCGTAATAAGGCTTATTACGGTGACATTAATAACATGGGATCGTCAAAGAAGGTTCGATGACAAACTCTTTGGTTCACTCAACGGGTAATAATCACATGGTGTGGTTAATGGGTCGTTAATTACCGTTCGCTTTTAAAAACTCGTTTTAAGTAATTATACGTTTTAAAAATTTTAAATTTGAAGTCCTCAAGATTAATGGAATGACAATTCTTTTCTAGGAACTTGGGAAAGTTTTTGGGTCTTATAAAAATAATATATTTTACATTCAAATCTAAATATAAAGCCTTTAAAATAACAGTCTGCCGGAACGGACGAAGGAAAAACAAATGCCGACCAAGTCCGTTGACCTGGAAAGTGTCTTTCTGGATGACGAGGAGGTGGCCGTCGTCTCATTTTAATTCAATTCAATTTTGCTTTCAATCCATACCTTTTATTATTCAATTTGGTGTGTTGCAATACGCATTACAATACAATGCTTGCGTTTAGCCAGCTGGTTAAAGTTCGATTATAAATATTTATAAACGATTCAAATAGTCAAAAGGGAGTTAAAGCTTTGCTTAACGGCCGTTTAATGTTAATTAAAACGCAGGCGATTCTTCCTGCATTGCTTTTTACACAAATTATTCCACAGTAAAAAGATTATGACGAGAGAATGGTTTTAAATGATTGCGTTTGAGTGAAGAAAGAAGAGGAAATGTAAAGATGAATGGTAAAGATACAAAGGTTTCTTATCAAGGAAGTTAAAAAAAGCAGTAAAATAGAAAATCATTGTAGAGAAGTAAAGATAAGATAATTTGAATCATTATTTCTAATTGATCAATAACAGTTTTCGTCATCTGATTTTAATCGTCACAAATTAATTTTTATTCAGATATTAAAATAAACCTTTGTTTTTGTTTTCAGGATTATACGTCGAATTTATGTCAACATTATGAGTAATTTGTGGAGTAAACAAATAAAATGTATTTCACCATAAAAACTAAAAATAGACTTAAAATATTGCCTGTTAAGATGTAGAATGTTATTTAAAATATTAAACATTACTACTCCAATAAAATACGTTTTTCTATTAGAAGCAACAATGTTTGCTGAACGTCTGAATGAGATGTTTACTCCAAACCCATGAAAAACAATCAATATTGAAAACCAAAGAACAGAAAATAAGATCTCACCTAAATCCCAAGTCATCTTCAGGATTCGACATTATCAAAAGATTTGTCATGGTAACTTACATCTTCAACGCAGAGTTTAAAACATTGCTCAAGAGACTGAGGCCAATAGTAGAAATTGATAATATAATCCCAGATTATCAATTTGGATTCAGGCAAAAGCACTCAACCATAGACCAAGTGCCTGAAATAACCGACATCATTGAAATGGCCCAGGAAGAAAAGAAAGTTTGCTAGCAGTCTTAAATGTCGCAATTCGTAAAAAATAAAAGTTTGGCACGAAAGCTTATGTTTATTAACATCGTTCATCTCGGACGGACTCTTCAGAGTTAAACAATAAGATGAATACACGGACTTAAAAAAGATACTGGGTCCTACTCTATATCTGCTATATACTATAGCATACAAGAGTTCGAAGAGATTACGGTGGCTACGTTTGTACATGTTATCCACTAGGAAACTACAACCAGTTAGTAATTCATTACTTGACTAGACCAACAGCTGGAGGATAGAGTTAAACGAGCTGAAATTCGTCCATATCAATTTTGCAACTAACCTGCAAAAAGATCCACTGCCTCTAAATATAAATAGCATCATTGTTCTATATGAGAACAATTCCTAGGTACTTAGGCATAACTCTAGACACCAATTTTAGGTGAAAATATAAATAGCACTATATGGGCTGATTGGAGAAACTCCAAACTTACTAACAAACAAACTAGTGATTTGTAATCAGATTCCGAAACCAATATAGCACTACAACGTCCAGCTCTGAGGTTGAACCAGTGACTTGAACTCAAGTGTATTCAAATATTCCAAAATAAAGTGCTACGCAACATGGCTAATGCCCTTGGTATGTGTGAAATTCCGATATTAACGGAGACTTTCAGATTTCAACTGTTAAGAAATTAAAGGATTTGCACGAAGATAGATTTCAACTCCAGGACAACGCAGAAGCTCATCAAGTGCTGGACAACAACGTGGTGTCCACTCCACTGCATGAGAACAAAACTAAAAGGCATCAATATGTGTAAAAATATGTATAATCGGGTTAAATCTAAACATTAACTTAATTTGTTTTGAATAACTTGATTTTTTAGCCGTTCAACATTCAACACATTTTGTAACAACAAAATCAACTTAATACGCCGAAAATAGGCAATCTAATTTTAATACATTTCAATAGATGGCGCTAACGATAATTCTTAATATAGCTGAATATTAATTATAGTAAAAATTTTTAGCTATTAACAGAAGAATTTCATAAAGTATAAGTACGAATTGCATAAATGACTTTTTTGACGGATTGGAGTGCTTAAAATTCAGATTCCAAATTCAATAACATCCAAGAAATCGATAGGAAGTAAGTTAGAGATCGACTCCAAGACTGTCGAAAAGGTGAATCGCTTCAAATATTTTAAGGGAGAAATAACGAGTCATAGAAATCTTTTTAAAGTAGCAAACAATGAAAGAGGCTCGCATTTCGGGATGCTGGCGAGAGATTGTTTAGAAGAGCAAACACCTTCAAACTAAAAGCTAAATCAAGATATATAAAACGACTATAAGACCCATTATAGCATACTACAATATAGACAAGACGAGAATCGTCCATATGCCTTATAATAATGTTGATATAATGAACAATGGTTAACGGTTTTTCTATTCCTATTCTTTTTCGAGTTTGTGCTGTTTACCATTTCATCTTTAAATTAAATTTAATTGAGATATAGAAAAAATATATAGTTGAGATAAACATTGTTCAAAGATATTAATAAGTAAGTACTACGTCCGAATTCACGTCAGTTTACGAAATAACACTATTAGTTATTGATATTGTATTTTTTTCATAAGTTATCTAACAACAGCGTTGTATTCGTTAGTAGTAGGGTGTCGCTGTGAAGATTATCGTTTATCAGTGTTTTCTAAATCTATTGGATTTAAACTCAGACCCGTTGGAGTCTATTCATTGGCACCCTTCCATTACAATCTACCTCTACCATAACCATCCTTAAATAAACTAATCAACGCAATAGAATGGAACTAGCGATGTATACAGCATACAAAGCACATAGTGCTCTTGATGCAGCACTTGCTCTAATTGTTTACATCGCAGTCTAGAAATGCATCTATTACAAATACAGAAAACTATTGAGAATACGAAGGACGGTGTTCCGAGTTCTACAAGGTTATGTCGTCACAAATATAAGTGGTAATAAAATGTTCATGAAAATCGATTTAAAGGCTAAGAAATATAATGGTTATTTGTGATCAAGGTCAACAAATTTATCTTTAAATTACAACTGAATTTTTAATTTCATCATTTTATCAAAAAGGACAAACTTTATTGACCCCTTTGTATGGTCAAGAATTTTAATAAAAGTAATTCAGAATATTACATTTAAAAAATGATTTACTCATTATCAGTTAATAATTGGAATTTTCCAGTAGAAATTTTCAAATATTACAAATGAAAGTTCTTTAAGACGAGTTTTAGAATTTTTTGTTCCATGAAAGAAGAAACAAAGTCTTTTATGGGGTATTTGTGGAAGAAGTTTCCACTGAGTCATCAAACAGGTATAGCCTTGAATGTACAGAAAGGAAGTTTGTTTTCAGGTAGACTCCTTCCACAAATAACCAGTTAATGATTCAAAATCTTTCTTAACTATAGCTTTATTTACACACTTTTTAATACTTACCAATTGATTCTGAGCAGTAGAAATATCACAAACACGGCCCCACATGGTAGCCTCAGTATCATAAAGTTTTGTAGGTTCCCACCCAACAACCTTCATATAATCTTGTACTCCGGTAAATAAACACTCTCCACCTGGATTGAAACACAAACAACGAATAGATCCGACATTTTTCTCTGTAGACACCAAATTAAAATTTTCTAAATCAAAGAAATTAACGGTTCGATCGGTACCGCCTGTGGCTAATAAAAATTCATGGGGGTGGAATGTAACACTGGTCACAGAACCGATATGATCATTAAATTCTCTTAAAATGCGTCCAACGCGAATATCCCAAATTTTAACACTACCATCTTCACTACCGCTGGCAAGCCAATAACCGTCCGGGCTAAATTTTAAACTGTTCACGCGACCTTTGTGTCCACAATAAGTAAATATGCAGCCTTTTTTGCGACTGTCCCAAAATTTAACTAGGCAATCAGCACTTCCAGATGCTAAGTAATCACCGTAAGGATGAAAATCTATACACTTGATACCATCTGTGTGTCCTGTTAACGTTCTCACCAATTTGGCAGCTTCCAAGTCCCATACTTTGATTGCTCCAGCACGGGAGCCAGCAATCACTACCTCTTCACTATGATTAAATTGCACACATTCAATAGGAGTCGTATGACTGCATAAACTCATAAAACAGCTTTGTTTACCAATTGCCCATAGATTCACCTTTTTGTCATCTCCGCCAGTGACCATAACGCGCCCAGACTTGCGCCCCAAAGACAAACAATTAACATTGGCATTGTGAGCTACAAACTCCTCTGAAAAATCGAACACAAAAATTAATTAAAAACAAATAAACCAAGTAGGAAAATACTATTGTATAAGTTGATTAAATACTTACGCAATTTGTGGGATCTTTTATAAACGGATGCCATATCTCTTTAAAAAAATCCAATGAAAACACGCGGCATTAACAAACGAAAAACTTCAACTTAAAGAAAACTTTCATTTTACATTTTTTCGTAAACCGCAATAGCATTAAAAATTAATTTCCTTTAAACACTTTACGAGTAAAAACATAAATTCACACCATCACTAATCACAAGACGACGCACGATAATAATTTGACACGTTAGACAATACCATTTACGAGACTATTTATCAACGTTTTGCTCTCAGGTGGGTATCGCTTCAGGTTCAAAAGTGAACTGAGCACTCAATCCACTTATTTACAGGTGCAATAGGGTTGAAATTTCAACTGTCAGTTACATTTTAAAGGTTATGTTTGTATGTCATATTGTTCATTTTACATACTCACTATAGTTTATACAATTTAACAAAACATACTAAATCAAATTGTAAGAAATATTTTTTAAAATGCTCTAAAATTTGAGTAATTAGATTTTAGAGTCTTATAAAATGTATTATAATAATAAATAAACTATAATAAATAATTTATTACATTAAATACAAAGAAACTTATTTTTCAGATGTGTTAAATTGGTTGCCTAATTGAATCTATTATAAAGATTGATATGGAATAATACAATGTATCTTGTAGAATACAAGATAAAACTGTGAGAATAATAAAATAAATAATATCGACTTTGAAAAATGTATGTTCATTAAATAAAAAGATCTTCTAATTTTATGGTAATATTATCCATTATCGAAGTGTTCTCAAAACTAACCAAGCCAATTTGGATATACACTTTGATTGCTCATAAAATTAAAGAAAGTGCTATAAAAAATATTGTTTACTTACAGAAAATGATCCATAGTATTCATCAAGTATTAAGTGTCAAATAACAAAGTTCAATTTGGTTACAAATGAGGTCATATCGCATTGGATATTCAGGTGTAGAAAAAATCTGGAAATTATATAGTGTTACGTTATGTTGGCGCCCCCAAATTCAAATGATATGTAAAAAGGAATTCATGTTTTCACTTTGTCTGTAATCGTGGGTGTTTTCTTCCTGGTTTTATTCAACTTAATCTCTGCTATTCGTTTATTTTTTAGTAATAAATTACTTTTACTTTCATAATCCATCAATTTCTTCCTGTGTTTAATAGTTTGCTGTATTACAAAAATATCTATTATTAGATTTTTCTATTATAAAGTTCTTTACATTAAGTCCATTTCATTCTTGAATCATTTTTCAATAGTAATCTTCAACTCTGTATTATACATCATTATAAAGAAGTCATAATCACTTCATAAATAATTCCTCCACATTTTCACCTGTAATTTGACATTTTGAGATTAAGTTAAAAACGAAAATATCACATTATTTTATTTTTGTAGTCCTACCCAACATATATTATATGTCATCTTATATAACATTCTAAAAAGGAATGTGTTAGCTTTATTTTGATATCAAAATCATTCCAAAAAAGCATATATCATCTATACACGATTAATTACATAAAATCATGAGCTTTTTTCTGAAATTTTTCATTATACAACTCAATATGTGGTTTATATTATATTAAAGAACAACTTTTGAACTTTAATTTGAGATGAAAATCACTTCTTAATAAATAAATAACTTTTCATGTTTTAAGTTTTAACTTGCATTTTGACAGTTTGAGGTTAAGTTGAAAACTTCACTACTTATTTATTTGTTATAGTCCAACTCAATACGCGTTATGTACCATGTTATATATCATTTAAAAGAGGAATGATTCAGCTTCAATTTCATATTAAAATCATTGCAAATTTTGCATACATCATCTTTCCACGATTAATTATATTTTGACCTTTAATTTGACACTTTTTAGAACTTCAAGATCTTTTTTCTGGAAATTTCCCTTATACAACTTAACAATTATTTTATATTATTTAAAAGAAGAGCTTTCAAGCTTTAACTTGGTGTTAAATTAATAAATAACTCCTTGTGTTAAATTACAAGTTGGATGTTGACAGCAGGTTGACAGTTTGAGGTTAAGTTGAAAATATAAACATCACAATCTTATTTATTTCTAATCTTTTTCCATTTGTATTATATGCCATGTTATATATCATTTGAAAGAGGAATGATTCAGCTTTAATTTCATATTAAAATCATTGCAGAAGGTGCATACATCACCTTTCAATGATTAATTGTATTTTGATCTTTAATTTGACACTTTTTAGAACTTCAAGATCCTTTTTCTGAACATTTTCCTTCTACAACTTAACAAGCATTTTATATATTTGAAAAAAAGAACTTTCAAGCTTTAATTTGGGATGAAAAACGCTTCTTAATTTTCATAAATAACTCCTTGTGTTAAATTTTAAGTTGGATTTTGACAGTTTGAGGTTAAGTTGAAAACGGAAACATCACAATCTTATTTATTTTTTCTAATCTAATTCAATTTGTATTATATATCATGTTATATATCATTTGAAGGAGGAATGATTCAGCTTTAATTTCATATTAAAATCATTGCAAAAGGTGCATACATCACTTTACAACGATTAATGATATTTTGATCTTTAATTTGACACTTTTTAGAACTTCCAAGATTCTTTTTCTGAAAATTTTCCTTATATAACTTAAAAAACGTTTTATATTATTTAAAAGAAGAATATTCAAGCTTCAATTTGAGATGAAAATCACTTCTTAATTTTCATAAATAACTTCTTGTGTGAAATTTTAAGTTGGATTTTGACAGTTTGAGGTTAAGTTGAAAACGTAAATCACAATCTTATTTATTTTTTCTAATTTAATTCAATTTGTATTATATACCATGTTATATATCATTTGAAAGAGGAATGATTGAGCTTTCATTTCATATTAAAATCATTGCAAAAGGTTCATACATCATCTTTCAACGATTAATTATATTTTTATCTTTAATTTGACACTTTTTAGGACTTCAAGATTCTTTTTCTGAAAATTTGCCTTATACAACTCAATATGCAATTTATATTATTTAAAAGAAGAACTGTTAAACTTTAATTTGAGATGTTTTAAGTTTTACTTGTATTTTGATACATTTTTTCCCACCCAACATGTACTATACCTACCATGTCATAAATCACAAGAGACAACCAGACCTGCGAACTAAGGAAGAGAATAATACTCTCATTGGCAGAATATGGTAAACTCAGAGATGTGTTTAATAGCAACCTACTAATATATCTAAAAAGAAAAGTGGAGCTAGAAAGCCTATGGGGCAGAAACACTGACTTTGACCATAACATCTGCCAACAGAAATGAGGACTTGCGCCGAAGAGATGGCGTTACAGACGTCATTTCTCACATCGCCAGACTCAAATGGAACTAACTGGATCCAGGCAGGAAAGAATGGGTGGAAATAAGGGAGGCCTATGTCAAGCAGTAGACACAGAGGGCTGAGTGATGATGATGATAACACATAAAGAGCAATATCTCAGCTTTAATTTGGCATCAAAAAATTCATAAAGACTCCTTCAATGACTTACTGAGTGAGATATTCTTTCAAAAAATCTGGGTAATCTTAATTTGAACCGTGAGAAACGTAGTATTTAGACTATTTAGATAAATTAGTCTTTACACAACAAAATAATGAGTGTAAATACTGACTTAAATGTTTAATTTAAATTCTTTAAAATCACATTACACCATCGATTAGGTACATTCACTTTTCCGAAATCCACTCAAAACGAGTGAAGTTGTAGCTAAAGAAATAAATCTTAAGAAATTGCCTCATTTCAACCATTGAAACTGACTAAAAACACCATAAACGGCATTCTGTCTGTCTCCCCAAAAGATCTACGTAGCTATCGAAGCCGTGCGAAAAACAAGGACGCCGTAAATTATGCACACACAATTAGGAAGTGTGTCCCTTGCGACGAAGAAATTCGATTCAACGTAACACTACGGAGAAGGAGTCCCGTCTCATATAAGGCAAATTGCGCACCGGACGATCTAGATACAGAAGTAATAGCAATTTCGGTGGGTTCTCGACACCCGCTTTTTTTCTGTCGTCATTCCACTTTCGCTTTCGCTATAAAACGAATGTGGGATAAAACGTTAAGAAGCTATACGAACGACTGACGGTTCCCGGTTTGGCGCACCCAAAAGAGGTTGTTATAGAACAGAAATTGTTAAGTGAATAGAGGTTGTTACGATAGAATATTACGCGGTAGTCAAAGTATTAATGACTACCTGTTTCTGGTATTGAGGGCGATAAAACGTGCTACACGATTTGTAACATTAATACATTTTGGGGAACGTGGGAAATTGATTAATTAATTCTAACGGGTTTTATACATAAAATGCCATGGCTAATATGGCGTTTCAAGAAAGTAAAAATCTCTTAATTTCTTTTAAGAATTTAGAACAATCTAAACATGCCAGTAATTATTTATAAATAAAATTCCTATAATATAAAAGTTAATTTAAATTGACAACTGCAATTTATTATTTCATAATAATTACAATTTGAAAGCGTAGATAATCTTTCTGAAGAACCACACAGAAAAGTCCTTCAAAGTCGCCATTTAACAAAAACAAAACCACAATTACGTAAAACTCATCATTTTATTTTAAGCCATCTCACGATGTGAAAAAAAAATTAATTACAAAAAACACAATTTTGAACTTTCTTGTATAAATTCTCAATAGACCAATTAAACCAATCGCTTCTTCTTATATCACATCGTTTCTGTGCAAATCTAACTTTAAAGTTTAAACTACACGGTATAAATCCATAGAGCACGTTATGTAATTGTGTTTAAATAATAGACATGGGAATAAATCCAGGAAAACGACTGTTAAACGTTGATAAAGTTTAATCGTCCAGAGATCTCCTGAAGAATTTTGTTTTTTTAATCGTTCCCCATTTCACCTAACTGATACTCAAAGGAGAAGTCACAAATCGTAAAGGGGAGAGAAGAAAACGAGTGTGGTGGGATTCACATTTGCTGGTTGTGTATAAATACGATAGAACATCGCCAGTGAAGAGTAAACTTGTTAAAGTAATCTTCGATTTGTATTGCGTAGTTTATATGATAAACAAAATTTAATATGAAGGTAAGTTTAATAAAACTTTTTAGTTTAATAAATAGTTATTTAAGAAAACTTATTTTTAGAATTACTTAATTATTTTTGGTTTGGTTACACTTGTAACTACAAATCCCATCGATTTAAGTGGTTACGATGGCGGTTTACACGGATCTCTTTATTCTTCAGCACCGGCCGTTCAAAAAGTTGAAGCAGACGTAAGTCACACAAAACCATAATGAAAAATTATTAATCGTGAACTTTAATTGTTGTTCCAAATTTGGTCGAAAAATCTTGAAAGAATTTTGCAATTTTCTTTTCCTTACTTTCTATTTCCTTTGATAAAATAAACCGGCCGCGTCGATGATGTACTAATGCGGAGAAAATCAATAAGATCACGCTTTTAATACGTATAAGGTAACTTTATAGAAAGTGAAACATCCCAAGACATTTCCATTCATGGTTTAAACTTTAACTCCATTGTTACAACTCTTGAACTCTTCATTGTCATTAACAATTAGAAAATTTAATAACAACTTAGTAATTAACATTAACGAAATTCATGCTAACACAACTTGTCTAATACTGTATTAAAATTATCATTGCTTATGGAATAATAGCTTATTCCAATTGATATCCGATGTTGTATCAGAATCATTTTCAATCTAAACGAATATGATATAATGATGTGGATCTGACCTAAATTCCAGGTTCTAGATTCCTGCGGGGTAATAGAATCTAGAGAATATCACACATAGTGTAATTCTAGTTGCAATAGAAACTGACACCAAATTCTACAAATCATATTATTTTGGTTAAAATTGAAAGCCGGAAAGTTACGATAGAACTGCAGCCATCCAAATTAATATTGCCCTTCTATTGCCATAATCTCATTTTGATTTCAACACAACCCAACACATTTAGTCTGAAATTCTGAAATCAAGATATTGATCTCATCTTTTAATTGCTGTGAATATAGCTAGATACTGCCCAATACGTGGACGAATAATGTATTTTGACTGTCTTTTTAGTTGGTGTACAGAAATTTTTCTCGAACCCAACACTATGCTGAAATAATATTCATTCGTTCACATTGTATCAGCTGAAATCCAGAAGTGCACTAGTATTTGAAGTGCTAGATTCTGGTCAATACTTAGATTAACATTCCGTTCGTGGTCAATGAAACTACTGGATATCTTTCATTGTCATACATTGATCATTGATATTTAAATATTCATGCTGTATTAGTTGAAATGCTGTAATCCATTTTAATTCATGGCCAAATAAAAATCCTCACAATTAATCCACAAGATTTCTTAACAAGAAACATGGAGCAGAAAACTTTGTCTGGATGGGCAGTCAAAGATTAGCCAACCTAATTATTTTAGATGTTTTTTTACTGCTCACTCTGTAACAAGAACTAAATTGGCATGGATAAAATGTTGTAATACTCTTGTAAACTTTTGCCAAATCTCACCCAGTTCTACAATCTGCAATATTGTAACTAATCCAATGCGATAAACGAATTATGAGACAGGATTTATCATTGTATACAATCTTCTTGAATAAGAAATGCTGAGCTCAGTGCAAACTCACGTCCAAAAATTGCGAAACATTTTGATAATAAGATCCGCTTCTGCTACTTAATAAGAATTTCTGTTCAGTAAGTGGATTGGCAGAATATTACTTCAGCCAAACTAATTATGGCACATGATTTCATACTATATCTTACATTGTATAACAATTAAACGCTACATACTTTTTGCAATTTCGGTTAATAAAGTTTTCTGGCTGAATAAAGTAAGGAATTGTATAAAATAACTGAATTAGATGTCTACTTAACCAATCCAGTTATTGGATAAGATTCTCAAGAACGTACTTCAATAAAAACTGATGGGTTCAGTGCATAATCACGTTCATAAACTGATTTTGTAATCTATTTTTGAGAAATTTGGCTTAGTTTTGCTATAAAGTTAGAAATTTTGTTTAATAACTAATTTGGCAGTCTACTTTTAACTAAATCAATTATGGTACAGGATTTCTCCAACACTGTACAAGATCAAATATGTTGGGTTCAGTGCAAAATCACTTCCTTTACTGCTTTTACAGTCTACTTTTGAGAAATTTGGCCCAGTTCTGCTATAAAGTTAGAAATTTTGCTTAATAACTAGATTGGCAGTCTACTTTTAACTAAATCAATTATGGTATAGGATTTGTCCAACACTGTACAGGATCAAATGTGTTGGGTTCAAGGCAAAATCACGTCTTTCACTACTTTCGCAGTCTATTTTTGAGAAATTTGGCTTAGTTTTGCTATAAAGTTAGAAATTTTGTTCAATAACTAAATTGGCAGTCCACTTTTAACTAAATCAATTATGGTATAGGATTCGTCCAACATTGTACACGATCATATATATCAAATGTGTTGGGTTCAATACAAAATCACGTCCTTCATTGCTTTCGCAGTCTACTTTTGATAAATTTGGCCCAGTTCTGCTATAAAGTTAGAAATTTTGATCAATTGGTAGGTTGGCAGTCTACTTCTAGCAAAATCAATTATGGTACAGGATTTCTCCAACACTGTACAGGATCAAATGTGTTGGGTTCGGTGCAAAATCACGTGCTTTACTGCTTTTACAGTCTACTTTTAAGAAATTTGGTCCAGTTTTGCTATAAAGTTAGAAATTTTGTTCAATCACTTGATTGGAAATCTACTTTTAACTAAATCAACTATGGTACAGGATGAAATGTATTGGGCTCAGTGCAAAATCATGTCCTTCACTACTTTTGCAGTTTACTTTCGGAACGTATAGTCCAGTTCTGCTACTTAATAAGAAATTCTATTCAATAATTGGACAAAATTGTACTTCAGACAAATCAGTGATACAAAGTTTCTTACTGCATCTAACATTGTATATTTTGATTCAGTGCAGAACAAGAAATCTTACAGAAGGACTGAATCCTTAGTCTCCTTTTTGCAATACTAGTTAATAAGACTTTCTGACTGAATAAGAAGTCTACTTTTAGCCAATCGTACTTTTCCAACAATATACATAAATCAGGATTAACACTTTACTTGTGTCAAATGTGACCCAGTTCTCCTACATTTTACTACATATTAAGAAATCCTGTTTAATAACTAGATTGACACTCTAATTTTAGCAAATCCTGTATATTTGTGCAATAATTGTGTTAAAAATTACTTTAAGTCAATCGAGTTATTAAATTGTATCCAATTGTGGAATCTGAAGTATAGCTTTCAGTACAAAATCTCATCAGAACTTTTGACTCCAACTCAAATTGTAATTTTGATCCATAAACGCACACCTATATAAGCAATTGCATTTTTATATATTTCGCTTCTACAAAAGTGGTTATCAAGACTTGGCTTCAGATAATAACAAAGAAGATACTCATTCAGTATTCCACATACTTTTATATTTGGATTTCTGGAAAGCAGCTTTATTGCTACTAGATAACAAATCCATTGATCACGATCTTGTTCCCATAGGGCTTGTCCAAACGGAAGATTCTGCTTGAAAAATCTGACTAATGAATAACTTGCTTGCCCAACCTGCTTTTTGGCCAATTTCGTTTATGGATACGTTTTCTCACTGTATGAAGCGAAATCTATTGGGTTCAGCACAGTGTAAATTTTTTTCTCTATTCTTTAGACACGATATTTCACAGATCCCAGTGTCTCCTACAGAGTAAGAGCAGAATTGGTAGTCTAATTTTTACAAACCCAGTTAATCGCTAGAATTTCTGCCTGAATGAAATAATGTGAAGTAAGAAACCTTACCTCATACTTGAATAGCAGTCCACTTTTACCAAATTTTGATGGGATTGCATTTCTTGTTACACCCAATACTTATCGTACTACTGTACCTAATACTTTTTCACAGAATTGCGCATTGGAATCAAAAATTCTAAATTTATTACTAAAATTGCAATGTTTTATTAACCCAATAACATAAATAATAGTGAAATAGTCTATTTAAGTTTAAGTTAATTTTCTTTTCAATTATTTAGGCTTATCCAAAATATCAATTTAATTATGGTGTTAAAGATAGTCATACTGGTGATATTAAGGAACAATCTGAAGAACGAGACGGTGATCACGTAAAAGGAGAATATTCTTTGGTCGAGCCAGACGGAACGGTTCGAAATGTTAAATATGAAGCGGACAGTCATAACGGATTTAATGCGGTTGTTACTAAAACAGGACATGCTTCACATCCGGCCGCTGCACCGAAAATTTCAATACCGATTAATTCCCATGGACTTCTAAACTCGTATCATTAAAAAAATTCTTTCAATTTCTTATTCCAATATGACCGTTTGGCAGATTTATTTTATCGTCGTTAATTATGTATTTTCGTACAACTTGAGTATTATCTTTTAGATTAAGTTAAGTACTTTTTTTTATTGTTTTATATTAAAATATATCTTTAGTTATTTAAGTTGTATTTTAAGTTTTTTTTGTATTCCTGTTTTTTTTGTATTTTTGTATCCTTTTTTATTCTTAAATATAGTTTGTTGAATAGAATTTAACAAAAATTGTTTTATTTAATGTTTATTACTAAAAAAAAAAACTAAAGAGATAACATTTTTTTCGTTTTAAACCTTTTCTTTATGTCTTGTACCATCCGGTTTAATGTATTCAACCTCAGCGACGAAACCTTGAGCATCATCGGCGGTGTATCTCACTATTCTCATAGTTCCATCAGCTTGGAGAACCGTATATTGTCCATGGACAGCGTCTCCGTCTCGATTTTCTTGGTGTTCTTGTGCGTTTCCGGTTACTGGATCTCTTACTCCGTAAGAATATTGATAATCAGGTTTCGCCTATTTATAAAATTTGTTAAAAACAAAAATTGATTAAAAAAAAAAATTAATATACCACAAAATCTTTAGCTAATCTATTTGGATTATGAACGGTGGGATCTGGCAAAATAACTTCTTTAATATCACCACTAACTGGCCCGTTAAATCTATGATATGAAACGCTATCATCGGTGGGTTGTTTGGCTGGAAAAGATGATGTAATTGAAATAATCTGTAAAGAGAATGTAATAAATACTTTTATTCTGATCTAAATTTGTTAAAGTGAAAGTTTAAAATAATTTAAATTCAAAGAATTAAAAACTAAACATTTTTTACTTACACATAATAACAAAATAGTTGACTTCATGATTTTAGAACACATACAGACACAGACAAGTTGAACTAAGTTAATGGTTTATTTAAACGATTCGAATAAAATTTCCTTATATACTGTAAAATTATATAATTCACTTTTTGCGGTCGCCCTCGCCGGTAATACAATATCAAAGAGGTGAAAATAGACTTTGTCGCTTTATAAACGAGTAAATTATATCACGAAACGACCGCGTCGAATCGAAATTCAAAAGTGGGGTAAACGAGATTCAGTGCATAAAATTCACCATAAACTACTTACATCATAAAATCATAACTAACTTTGGCCCTCTACGAATTTATTTGTATTTTTTCGTTTTATACAATGTTGAAAGTGCTTTTAATAAGCGTGGAAATAATTTAATCCATAAATAGATTATTATTAAAAAAAGACGTGATTTTAATCAAATTAATTATATATTAAGATTTTTTATTTTAAATTACACACAATTCTATAAAGATTTTTAAAATCAATAAATAAATTAAATATAAAAACTTACTCTACCTAATTTTTTTATTTTTATAAACAATTTAACTTAATAATTCTTGCGTTCTTTCAAAATGATTCAAATTATGATTTTTAAATTCGCTTTTAGTGGCAAATCTTTCATCACAAACATGACACACCAACTCCTCGTCCAATTTCTTTTTTTCCCTATTATGTCGTTTTAAATGCAACGATAAACAACTTGATTGTATGAATCCTTTATTGCAAATAATACAAATGTACGGCCTTTCACCTGTATGAGATCTTCGATGGACTATAAGAGCACTTGAACCATTAAAAGCTACCAAAAACAAATTAATGAGAATGTAATTATTAAAGTTGAACAAAAATTGAAATGGATTTACCTTTATGGCAAATATCGCAAACATGTGGTTTTTCACCTGTATGAGTTCGCATATGTTTTGTAAGTTCGTTAGATTGGCAAAAAGCTTTTTGACAAACTGAACAAACATAAGGACGTTCGCCAGTATGAATTCGTTTGTGAGCAATTAAATTTGAACTTGTTGAGAATGCTTTTTCACACATATCGCATTTATGAGGACGTTCACCTACAAAGAAATATGAATAAATATTTTTTAATTAAAAGCTTAAAAAACAAACACAATTAAAATTTGTTTTACAAGGGAAGTAACATAAATGTGGAACACCGATTTCGATAAAATTTGGTACAGCCATAGATTGGACTAAAATAAGATAGATATCAGACGTTGGCTCCTCACTCTCATCTAGATATCTACTTAGAAACCATGCGTATTTAAAAACATTTATAAACCGAGGTCTAGGTAATGAAGTTACTCTAGGCCAGTGTTCTTCAACCTTTGTCATTGCGCGGAACCCTTTTTCGAGATAATTTTTTTATGGAACTCTTCGTTTTACATATTATTATATTATATGTAATGTGTAATTACATGTTGTGAACAAGATGCGTCTCTGCCTCCGTTGTAAAAACTCTATACAAAAGTAATTAACTTGTGTTTATTCAAACAAAAAGATAAATACGTTGTATTTGCTACCCTCGGTCCAAAGGTGTCAGAGGTTTCTTTTAAAACAATTAAAAGTGGGGAAAGAAGTTTTCCATCAGCAGATATTATGGGTTAAATAGTATAACTACATACATTCAATAGTTGATTTAACGCCTAAATTGCTTAATGCTTTTCCCAAGTGGAACTCTGTATATTTAGAGTTGTTGCTTTACCTCTTTAACGAAATTTTTCGATAAAGTTTTTACGCAATAATTTTTTTTTGTTTTCAATTCATAAATAAGTAAATAACTTATTTTATATTTACCTTTTACCATAACTTCCAACCCTTATAACTATTTTCAAACATTTTTACTTTACATATAAAACAACTCCTATCCTTGCAATAAATCAAGGCCCCTCACTTTAGAGATCGATATCTTCGTAACCGCTCGATGGAAAAAATTGCGTTAAAGTTTATTGTATTCAGTGAACATTTCTGCGTATCACATGTTAATTTGGAAATTTTCGGGTCAGCGGTTTTTCTTTTATAGCAAGTTAAGTGAAAAAAGTACCCGATTTTTGAGAGTGCCAGCAACTTTGTCTACTTCGCGATTTTTTTTCTCAAAAACTATTTGACGAAAAAATTTCAAATTTGAACTGGTGGTAAACCGATGTGTTCTTAATCTGGTGCATATTTTATTTTTTCGATATTCCATATAGTTTCGCGAAAAATCGAGGTTTAGTAGGATGCGGTTATACAGTACGTCGCGCCTTTATCCTACCTACATAAAGAAATAAGGCGCGACGTCCTATCTGGGACAACACCCCGCTGAGCTTATTTCTGTTTCTCTTTAATTTTTAATTCTATTAAATCGCTTTTAACCCTAGAATACTATTCCTTCTTAAATTTAACCTCTATAGTATTCTAACTGTATACAATATTGAAAAAATAAAACATGCCACTCATTAAGAACACATCAGGCTACCATCTGTTCAAAAATTTAAATTTTTTCGTACGATAATTTTCGAGAAAAAAAATACAAAAGTTACCAAACTTGCCGGTAGCGTAAAAAATCGTATACTTTTTTCATTTAACTCGCAATAAAAAGAAAACCGTGGTTCCGAAAATTTTCAAATTAATATATGTTACGTAGAAATGTTCAGTGATTACAACAAACTTGGCCAAAATTTATTTTATCGAGCGGTTGCGAAGATATCGATCTCTAAAGTGAAGGGGCCTTGACTTTTTGCACGGATAGAGTAACGCCTAGAATAGGATTAATTTTTAAGGGAGTAGTTACCCCCAAATGTCGTATATGCCGTACTTTACACTAAAAATTTTACTGAAACATACTTTACTGAAAAATTCTTATGAAAAGTGGGCAAAGTGGAAATACATATTAACCCCCATAACTTCGCTGGGGTTGATTTACGACGAATGAGAAAAAACGTTTCTTTTGAATGGACTACAAGTATATTTAGGTTGGTTTTTAAATAAACCTGAAAAAATAAGGATGAAGAAGGGGTAGTTCGCCCCTTTTCACCCTGTGGTATATGAATGATACATCAAATGAAAGCTTATTAAAAATGAATATTAGTTTCAATTTACCAAATTTTGATAGCTCTTTTCATTTTCAAAATATAGGCAAAAATGTAACAAACTTTCAACCCCTAAAACTCGTCTCAGAGGCAAAAAATATGTAATGGCTGCACCAAATTTGATCTAAATTGGTATGGCACAGTTCTGTTACTTCTTTTCTTAGATAATTAAATAATTTGATTTTTAAATTTAACCTCAAATTAATTATTTTATTATCTACTTAATAATAACCTGTATGTGTACGCATATGTTTCTCTAAATCCTGAGCTTGTCTACACCCTTTATTACACACAGAACACCTATAAGGTCTCTCATCAGTATGACTTCGTAAATGTATTTTAAAATTACTACTATGTGTAAAAGCTTTATTACAAAAATTACACTTATATGGCATATCAGCTGAATGTATTTTCATATGCCTTGTTAATTTAGCTGTGGTAGAAAACATTTTATTACAAGTTCTACATATTTTTCCATCAACAGTTTCCTTTTTAATTTTAATTTCTTTCTTTAATTTATCTTTATCAGGTTCTTGTAATTGATTTAAAGTTTCATTTTCGATTACAGTGCTTTGTTGTTGATGGACTATTTGATTTTGAATTGGGATTTGTGTTGTAATGACTTGATTTTGAATAATTGTTCCTGGTTGGACGTCTTGAACTGGAACGGTATAAGTTCCATTGTAAACTTGGACAGCTTGTAAATTATAACTGTGATGACCGTCGGTGTGAATATTATAATCAACTTGTGTTAGCGTTTCGTGGGGTTGATTGATTGTATTGAAATGGACAAATTTTTCTTCGCCTTGCATATCTAGAATTGGGGCACATTCTATGAAGACGCAATTTCCTGTTCCGTTCACAGCATTGACTTGGACTTGTTGTTGAATTGATTGTTGGGTGGATTGCTGACGAAGAATTTCACCTTCTTGTTCTATTTTTGTTACATATTGGCGAAGTTTTGCGTCGGATTTTTCACACAGCTTTTTGAATTGAAAGGAAATGTGTAATTTCGCCGAACATTTGTTGCAGATTTGTTTTGGGAGGTTGTCGTTTGGCCAAACCTACGTAAAATAATTCATATTTATTTTTTCGATAATCAATTCTACTTTATTACAAAAAATACAGTTTTATACCTGTACCGAAGCACAAGACATTAACTTTTTGGAAACATTTACTTTAAAAATTGGCATCATAACACCGTCTTTCATGCATACACGACAAATTTTATTTAAATCCAAATCCATTACTCTACTTATAAAATAATTAAACTCAATAATTCTTTTTATTATAGAAATTATTGTTTGATTCTAACCACAATACATGAAATAAACATAAGGGGGGAATTGCGCATGACTGGATTTATTCAAATTAAAATAAACGATTTATATTTCCTTAAGACTCCTGTTTAATGAATAAACTCATAAAATTTCACAATAAAACGGTGTCTCGCATATAAATAGTCTTTTAATAAAATAACATAGATGACAGATAAAATTATAATTTTAGGTTGACATTTTATGACATTAATTTAGGTTGGTAATGTTAGAAAGTTTCGATTGATGCGGTGATCAAAATTCCTACAATTTCAGTTTTTCTAAATAAATTAATTCAACTTACTTAATCAAAACGTTCATTTAATTATTTCGATATTAACTACATACAAATATTATTAATTATAAATCACCTTAAACAAAATTTGTATTTTAACTTAAATCGCGTGAATCCTAAATTTAATCGAAACTTATATAAATGCCGATCGTTGTGAACACATACAGTTAGTTCAAGCGTTTGCGCATGCGTAGATGTCACTCCTATTAAAATTTCAAGGAGGCGATTGGAGCCTAAAATGAAACTGGGTTCCATTTCGTTGTCGGCGATCGCCATATTGACGAGTACGGAGTGAGTTCTAACCAATAAAGCATTAAAACCCGGCATAAAATTCTTAATAAAGCGTAAAAAAGCGTTTGTTCGGTACCGTTTAGTCGTAAAAACGTTTCGAATCATTACAAAGAGGGCCGTATAACAAGTGCCGGACGATATAGTTGTTACGTTGGAGACGGTAGAAAGCCAAATTAAATATGGCGTGTGCTACACTGAAGAGGTCCTTAGATTGGGAACCCGTTTTGGGGACGAGACCGGCGAAAAGGAGACGTTGCATCCCGTTTTGCGCGAGCCCTTCCCACAAGCAGAGTACTAGCCAAACAAGCAGCCCCAGTTCGAGCACGACGCCCTCAAAATCCATTTTCCCTGACGTAGTTAGCAAAAAGTTCACTCCAGGTAATTTACAATTCCGATTATATTCTAATTGATGCGTTTTTTAACCGATTAAAGAAAGGACCGCTTTTTCCGATTCAACAAACTTTTTTTGATTTATATATTTTTTTTTAGTAAAGTTCGTGATCTCTTGTTGACATTTGATTGATGTCAGCTGATTAGATCTTTTTGTTTGTACACAACTGATGACTTTGTGATTTTCTGTCAACAACTTTTCTTATTATTTGTAACTGTTTGATCGGTGCAGGTTGCAGTTAATCATCGTTTTATGTTACAAATAAATGTAAATATTAATACGTTTCATTTAAATATAAAATAATAATTTTGAATTTTTATTTTTAAGGTTATGTTTTTTCATACTTTGAAGATTTTTTATCCGAAAACATTTGTTGACCAATGTTATTATATCATATTTTTGGAGTTATGAGAATGTTATTTCTAGTTTTGAATCATGCGTTGTGGGCGTCGTTATTTCTTTGAAAATATGTTATAAAGAAAAACGAATTATTTGTTATTTTGAAAGATTTAGATCCTTTCATTGTTATTTGGGATGTTGTAGTATTATTTATGTTTGAATCATATATTGTGGGCGTGAAATATTTAAATTTTATTGGTTTTATGCAAGATTGGAAGGAATAGAATATCTTAAAATATTTGTTTTCTAAACATCTAGGTATTACACAAAATGTAAGTTTCATCATTTTATCTTTATTGATCAAAAAAATTACTGAAGTAAATTACACAATTTTTTTCAGAGTCAACTTTGTGGTTATGTTATTTCCAGCTCTTAGCCAACAAAAAACACAAAACTAGTAAAAGTGGGCCTAAGCTAAATGAAAATACTTTAAGCCTAATTTAAATTATTTGTTTATTTAACTATAGAATTGATTATTATATATTAACAAATCAATAATAATTGTTATTGGTAAAAGAATGTGATGTGTAATGCTTATTCATCACAAACCTTGTTTTTCATTTTTGTTTTAATTAACCTCCCACAATTTCTTTTAGAGCATGTGTTCCAAATGTTTTGGTGTTTATTTGCCTTTATATTCACAAGTAGTCTCTCTTATATCTTTAATGTCGTGATTTTTAGCTTTTGTAATTCATAAGTCTGTGATTCAACTTACATTTAGGTCCAAATAGACTGTTGGATAGTAATACATAAAGAAGGATTCAGGAATATGTTATTGAAAGGAATATTATGTCATTATTTATACAAAATATACCTTGTTGTTCTTTTTGGTATATTTAACTTCTTTCTGATTTATTAATTGGCGTTTAGCCTCCAATCAAATGACACTTCAAGGTATGAAGGTATTACCCTCTTCATCTTTTTCATCTTTTTGATTCATTGATCATTCCTTCATACTTTTTTTGCTGAAGTGTAGTATTTCTGTCTGTTGAGTATTAAGTCCAATTTTCCAATCTTTACTATGTCTAGTTTAAGCCAATTCTCGACGCTGATCTGCAACTCTATCTTCTGTCCTCCTGGTTAGCGTTTCATGTGAGCAAAGAGGTAGAAATTGGAGGTAGTCTAGTCTAAGCTGTATGGTGGGTGACAAAGGACATCTCATAGGAAAGACTGCAAGAGCTGCTTTGTTGCAGCTGCTGTATATAGATGATGTCTGATGTCTACATTCCTCTGCGCTTGTTCTGAATTGCCCTTCATAGACGTTGAAGAGTAACGCTGTATGAGGGTTAGTGGGATACGTTTTCTGTTATTTTTGGAAAATTGGATTTGAAATTTTTGGATTTTCTAATCTTTGTCGTCATAATTCCGAATACTACTAGATTTCTTACAAGAACCTATATGTAACCCCAAGTTGACTACCTCTTGAGTACTGTTGTTAATGAATTTCTTAATATCAAACTGGGGTTTTAAATAGTTCTGCTGCAGAATAACCAGAAAGGACAGCGACGGCGATCTCTTTGATCTTCAAAGGCTTCGAATTTTGTGGTTTATTGACCTACTTACAATGTGTCCGCCATCTTATAGGTTGGAATGTCCAATGCGCGAGTTTCAAAACTGTATTTCTTTTTAGAGTTTTAACACTCGTAATTTATCAATTTACGAAAATTTATTTTTAGCACAGCATTATACATCGAACATAAGTGAGGTTAAGTTAAACAGACGCAGAAAAATCAGTTTTGTCAGGATAGCATCTTTTCTGATTATTCTATGGTTATGCCATTAATGTGCCTGGTCTTGTCACGCATTCCAACCTTGTGATTTCCTAGCATATATCCTTAACTGACTTCTGCAGCTGATTATACTTTTTTTTGAGCTTGTATGTCTGGTAATTCCCCTTTCGCAGTAAATAAAGTGAATTTTGGCGTAGCCAACATTATTTACAGCTCGTATTCACTTTTTAACTTCAAATTAAACAAAGATTTCAACAGATTGATTTGATATCAGTTCCACACGATCTTATTACTGCATTTGTAAGTTCTTTCCAATTCGATACACAATTCAAGTGGAAACCGAAGTAGTTAAGTATACCAGATCGATTTATTGTGTGGTTTTTGTATATTGGTTTTGATATACAAAGTTTTAATTATTATACATCTAGCAATTGTAATGAAATGTCCTTGGATTAGTTTATACAGGGTGGTCCATTTAACGTGAGACAAGCGATTATCTCGAAAACTGTGTATTTTACATAAAAATTTGTTCATGAAAGTTGTTCTGTGCAAAGGGGGAAACCATATGACGATAACATTTTCGACCTTGGCCTTATTTTCAAGGTTATATGAAGTTCACGACTAATTTTTTTTCAGTATGACGGCGAAACATCTTTTGTAAACAAAATCTAAATAATTTTTTTATTCAAATAGTTTTAAATATAAAAAAATGATTAAACTATACTATTAATCAACAACAAGTATAAAATTTATAATACATATTCAAATATTTCCCCACCCACTTCAATACATTTATTAACTAAAACTTTCTTTAAATCTTAAAAGGTTTTCTTGGCTACTATTTTTGCATGCATTTCTTATCCGCTCTTTCATGTTTTCTGGCGTAGTCAGTACTTCGCGATAAACATTATCCTTAAGGACGCCCCACAAAAAAAAATCAAGAGGTGTTAAATCAGGTGATCTGGCAGGCCAGGAAATTCGACCTCCCCTTCCAATCCATCGTCCAGTATAATCTCGGTCTAAAGCTTCACGTGCAATATGTGAAAAATGTGCTGGACACTCATCATTTTGCAGCCACATATTTTGTCTTGCTTCTCTGCTCAAATCAACAAGTAACGTTGGTAAGACGTCATCTAAAAAATTTTGGCACTTCTTCCCATTCAGCATACCATCAATAAAGTATGGACCGATGAATTTATCACCAATTATGCCTCACCAAACATTAACCGACCAAGGTTGGTGATGTTCTACTTCACGCAACCATCTCGGATTTTCAACGCTCCAATAGTGCATATTATGTCTATTGACTTGTCTTTTGTTTGTAAAAGTAGACTCATCCAAGAATAGCATGTTACCAAAGAAATTGACATCCAACCGCATTCAATATCGATTTTCTAAATCACTTCCATAAAGCTGTTGATGCAATTAAATGTGGTGTGAGTATACTTGTTGCGCTTTAATCTTCTTAAAATGCTGGTCTTCGATATTCCGGCGTCAATTGCAAGTCGTCCAGTGCTAACTTGAGGATTTACCTCAACGCTAGCTAATACCGCAATTTTCTTTTCTTCCGTAATTACAGTTGCTCGTCGAGTTCTTTTTCTTGATTCCACATTTCCAGTATTAGTGAAATTAAGTCTGTAAACAACTCTGTAAAAGGTACTCGAAGGCGTACTTCGCTCAGGAAAACGTTCTCGATACAAAGCTATACTATCAGCAACTTTTCTGCCACTTTCTCCATAAATAAAAATCATTTCGACTTTTTCTGCCACACTTAGAGTATGCATGCCTTAATGTAAAACGATGAAATGAATTCAGAATTTGTTGCCAAGCAGTTTTTATGCAAATTTAGTTTTACCAGTTACATTTTAAAACAATTCACCCAATTAAGTCTCTGAAAGCGATATTCTGAAAATGCGGACATAAGCAGTTCCACAAACTCTTGTTTTTTATGCGTTATGCTATTATCAAATTGACAAAGGTGGAGAGATGTTGGAACCTTTTAGACCTCTTTTCAAAGCTATTTCTGACGAACCAGGTCACCCGATGTACCTCTTCTGGATTTTTTTGTTGAGTATTCTTAGATAGTATTCTAAAAATTAAGAACTAAAGACAATGTATCGAAGCGGATAGGAAAATGTTTAAAAATTGATAAAACTTATTTGTTCTTGCTGGATTATATCGTTTGTTAATTGTTTCTGAAGAAGTTTCAATTTTTTCCAAAAGATGTTTTGCCGTTGTACTGGCAAAACCTACTGTGTGGTTTTAAATAAAATATAAATATTATAAAATATTTTATTTTATTTTTTTTTAATTACTTTACTTTTATCCACAGATTCAGATTTTACAATAAAATATATAGAGATGACTTTGCATCGGGAAATACCTTGTGGTTAACCCTCTTACATACATTGTTCTCAAGTTATTCACAAAAAGATATGAGCTCGTTTCTAAACGTGGGCGCCCATAATATTAAAAAAATACTAAAACATCTACAGTGTGTCCCAGAATAGATGTTACAAGACTTAAAATTTGTTTAATTTTATTTTAAGGCTGAGGAATTAAGCCGTGCTTGGTGTGGAGAGAATTTTAAGTATATTTTCATATTTTGAAAATCAACTCGGTCTTGATAGTGAAGCGAAAACTATTTTTAGTTCAGGTAAAGTAAGCTTTTTGTTCATGATACGGCAAAATATCATTAAGAAAAGTTGTTCAGAATGAAAAATTATGGCACTATGCAAAATTTCAGAAAGATTGATTAAACCACGATATTTTAGATTAGATCAGAGTGAAGAAAGAAAAACAATGAAAAATGCCAAGAAAATGAATGACTTAAGTAGTTGCAAATATTGACAAATATTATCCCTCAGTTTTAGTTCACATTTCAATTACTATACAATATTTATGTTATTTAAACTAGAATGTGATTCTTCTGAAATTTTTTATAGGACACATAATTTCTCATTTTGAACAACTTTCTTAATAAAGAAAGATTACTTTATCTAAACTAAAAATAGTTTTCTTTGTTTTCAAAATATGAAAATATTCTTAAAATTCTCTTCACACCAAACAGGGCATAATTCCTTACCCTTAAAATAACATTCAACAATTTTTAAGTCATTATACCTCTTGTAACATCTATCCTGGGACACACTGTATATAACTAAGATAATGAAAATAATATATCTAAAAAGTACTCAAACTGAAAATTGGCATATATAAATGTTTTTTTTTTGTGTGCAGGAAGTGTTGGAGAAATATCATCCAGATTAGAATCTTAAATTCTATCCTCAAGGAAATAATTAAAGTTTAAACAAAACAAGGTTTTCACCGCTATTTATCTTACTTATTCGAGTACTATGAGTGTTACATTTGAATAATAATAGTTTATAGAATTCCGTTATTCCATCACAGTCGGTCAGTTTATAATAACTTCGGTCAACAAATTTGCTTAAAATGACCTTTATTTAAAAAGACATCGTTCCTAAAAATGACACACTCATGATCGAAACATGTTACACATTTAGATATAAATTTTTTTAATAACATTTTTTTTTTGTTCCAGAACACATGGCAGCGAATATTCACGCTGAATTCAAGAGGTTACAAAGGCGTAAGCAGTTACAATTTAGTTGCAGCTCAGATGCCTCAGATGGTAGTAGCTCAGGTGGTGAACAAACTGATTCACGTTCAGAAAAACCGTTGTTCACCTTCAAACAGGTAAAAATGAATCATTTATGCATACTAAATGAAATATTTTTTTTGTTTTTGGATTATTTAATAAAGTATTTGTTTAATGTTTAGGTTGGGTTGATTTGTGAACGTATGCTTCGAGAAAAAGAATCTGAAATCCGAGAAGAATACGATAATGTTCTTACGACAAAACTCGCTGAACAATACGACGCATTCGTCAAGTTTACCTACGACCAGATACAGAAGAATTATGCGGCTGTACCTAGTTATTTATCATAAGGATATTTCGATTGCTGTTTTCAGCCCTTCACTCCTACCCCGAGTTTTTTTTTAGAAAAAAGATGAAGAAGAACCACAACCACACACACACCCCTAGTTATTGCATATGTATACATACGTTTTACAGTCATATCGTCTAGCAGGTTTGTCTGCCTTACATCAAATACCGTTTTGCTAGCCGATTTGTATATAAATATATATGTACTTTTGGAATTGATCGGTAATTACATTCTGTTCTTGTATATAGGAGGTGTTATAATTTACCGATTATAAGATGATGGTAGTTGCTTCTCGTTTTGTTTCAAGGCCGTTTTTCCGTTATACGATATTTGATAAAACGTTTTTTGTCGTTAATAAAGAGAGAGAATGTGAATGTGTTGGTTAGGTTCGTTTTTTATTATTACTAAGGACAAGTTAAATTGTTTCGAATGTTATTTTTTGGAAGAAGTGAAGTATCGGTCGACCAAAAGCGACAATTTCCAATCGCGATTGCCTTACTTTTACTTTATCTCGTCCCGCAGGATTAAAAAAAAACGTAAAAAAACCTTGAAAAAATATATAAATTAAATAAGTATGTAGTTAAGAAATAGGCTATAATAATAATATTTAGGCGTGTGAAGTGGAATGCCTGACTTACTATATTTCTAGCTTTTAATATATTCTATATATAAATACATAAAATAAAAAAATGAATAGTTTAAGGTGATATAAACAGTCCTGATGAACTACAAATATGATATGTACCGTATTTGCCATAAATGTGATTTCAGTTTCTACAATAGCTAACTAAGTTTTTTTTTTGTTTATTTTGAAGTAGCCGCAGGTGAAGAAGCAGCACTGTAATATATACCAATACGATTATTATTTCTTATTAATTTTTTTAGTGTGTTCAGTTGGTTCGACCATCGACTGCGTCCGAATATCGTTAGTTCTTACCTTAAAAACCCAACTCCCCGATTTCCTTTAGGTTTTCTTTTATTAATTTTATTTTATTTTTCTGTGCTGTATGGTTTAATTTAGTTTATTAAGTTTATTTATTTTTGAGCTTATTTTTCTTTTCACGCTGTTTCCATGTGTAATATCTACACCAAAAGTTAGTTTCTTTTAATTTTCGAGTTTCGTTCGTTAAAGAATATTTTCAATGCAATGTGTATCTTAATTTGACTTATTGTTTTGTTATGTAGGTCATTACGCAAAATAAATACATTTTTGGGTAAATTTAGAATTTTCATTCCCATTGTTTGGTAGCAACATTATAGAAATAACATTGATTTTTAATAGAACATTAATTTTATTTAAATATATGTGATTAATTCCTTATATTTTACACATACAGTAAAACCTCGATATACAGAATGTTTCATGAGGAATGAATGAACTTTATCAAAGTGAACCTATTTTTTTTACATACAGTTAAACGGTGTAATAAAAACTATAGTATTTCATTTAAAATAACTATGATCTACTTCCGGTAGACCGGAAGTGGCGGCCATCTTGAAAATATTTTAAATCAAATGTAACGAATGAACAACCCCAAGGTCTGGAATATTGGTTATAAGCAAGGTTTATCTATTAAAGGTTGTCTAAGTTCCTATGCTGCAATACTTTGATTTTAGTTTGTGGGCGAGGGGTAAGAGCAGCCTCATGCCCATGTGGTGCTCCATGTATTTGTTTAATTTGAATTACTTGGCGGTATTATTTTCCACATGTGACGTAATGCGAAGTATGGTTGCGTACGAACCTAGACAACCTTTTATATATAAACCTTGGGTTATAAGGTTATCCAACTCAAACAAATTGACGTTAACGGAGTGAGGTAGGAAACGTGACGTCATTGGAGAAAAAGTATAGTATAATATACAGGTTCCCATTATGTATGGAATATAGTATACAGTGTCCGCCAAAAAGTCAGCAACACCCGTTTTATTTCCGGTCCCCCGGAAGTAGACCTCAACTTCGTTATTTTAGTAGTTAGTTTTAGTGCAATAAAAATATACAACATAGTGATATCTAACAATATCATGTTTGAACTCATTTTAATGTTTTGCTTTAATAAAGAATACATCATAGAAGAACACGAATAAATGGACAACTATGAAGTTGTCCATTTGTCTATTATATGATAACTAACTTCAGATTTAAAATGTCAACCTCAATTTTGACATATTTGTAACCTACATTAAAAATCCTTTAAAATGAGTACAAACACGACATATTTATCTTCAATATTAATGAAGTTATGGTCAACTTCCGGTTAGAAATGTCAACGTCAATTTTGACATATTTGTAATCGTCGTGAAAAATCCTTTAAAATGAGCCCAAACATGATAAGTTTAATTCCAATATTAGTCAAGATATAAGCAACTTCCGGTTTGAAATATCAATGTCATTTTGACAAATTCTTAATTTTTATAAAATGTCTTAAAATTTATCACAAATAAAAATACAATAAAAAAAAAATTAAAAATTAAGGTTGGTATTAATATTTAATAATTAAATTACTATTATCATTGTTGCTAACTTCGGGTTTAACGTTTTTTTATTCAAACTTTTTTGTTTTTTGAGATAAGTGCGTCATCTTTGGACTCATTTTAAAGGTTTTTTAATGAAGATGACAAATATGTCAAAATTAAAAGTTGAAAGTTCGAACTTTTTGTTTTTTTGAGATAAATGCGTCAAGTTTAAACTCACTTTAAAGGTTATTTTATGAAAATTACGAATATAATAATAAAATTAAAGCTGTACAACTGAAAGTTCTTTTCACGACTAAACCCGACTGTTTCTAGTTCTCGTTTTAGTTTTAGTTCAATAAAAATATACAACATAGTAATATTTTATACTAACTAGCGCTACCTACCACTGCCACTAGAACTAACACTAGACTTAGAACTAGAAATATTCTAGTTCGGATTTAGCCGTGCGTCTTCAGACTTTTCTAATTTTTTGTCTAAGACGCCCGGCTAAACCTAAAACTTTCTGGTTCTAGGTCTAGTGTTAGTTCTAGTTTGAATTGTTATATAACCCTAAATCCTTGTACATTTTAATTGATCTAAAAATATTTTTTTATTTGATTTAATCCACTTACCTTGTTTATAATTTCATCCATTTACCCATTTTGAATTAAATACAACCTTTAAATCCAATTAATTATGTGTTTTTCATTAAAAAAATTTAAATTCAACGTCAATTTTGATAGCACCTGCAATGTTTGTATCTTAATCACCATGGTAACCGAGTCAAGTTGGATAACCTAACAATAATAAAATTATAACCGTTAATATTTCGCTTATATTTTAATTTTTATTTTATATCTTTTTTTTATGTTTTTATATTTTTGTGTATTGCTTCTTAAGTGAAATACACTATATAAATAAAAACATAGAAATGTCAATTCTTCCAATGACGTCGCAGCAAGGCCTTTGCGGGGGGATACGTTCGTATGGAGTTAGATAACCTTATGTATGTTTACTCAACGGACCTTGGAACAACTCATGCTACCAAAATTTCAAAACTGTACGAATAGTGAAACCTAAAAACGAACCATTTTAAGCTTTTAACGAACCAATTACGCGAAACAGCCTGTATATGGGACTAGTTTCGGGCTAAATGCCCATTTTCAGCCAAATCTATATATCATGCATATAGATTTGGCTGAAAATTAGTAATTATAACTTAAGTTGAAATAGTAATTACCTAATTACTACTTACTTACTGTCAAAAATGAACTAATGGTAAAATACTATAAATGTTATTATAGTATTTTTAACCAAGATAGTTTTACCATTAGTTCCGTTTTGACAGTAAGTAAGCAGTGATCATGTTAATTGGGTTTTTGTATGTTTTTCATGTTGTGCATATAGATTTGGCTGAAGATGGGCATTTAGCTCGAAACTAGTCCCATATATATTAACCCTTTCGTTACTAATAGCGTACGCATACGTTTTTGTATATGTGGGCTTGCTATATGATCTTGAAAATACTCCGTAACGAAAGGGTTAATAAATAGCAAGGAAGAAATTTTTGTTGTTTTATTAATACTTAATTAACTTGCAATATGAATACAAATATTAATTACCGAATGTTTCTAGTTCTAGTGTTAGCTCTAGTTTTAGTTATTATTATAAGTTTAGTTAGCTAGTTAGCTCTAGTTGTGGATAGCTTCGAATTTGCATCTATTAAAATTATTCATTATAACAGTGTAAAGTGTAAAATAAAAACGGAATTTTAACTATAACAAACAAATCCTCATATTAATCTGTTATATCGAGATTTTACTGTTTTAATAAATTCAAGCCATTATTTGAAATATACATTTTCTAGCTTTGTAATAAAACCAGAGTGATTAAATAACAATTGTGATTAAATATAAAAATATATATCATTAAGCATTTCTAACAAGAAGTCATATTATTAAGTCAATTCATTATTCAACATTTTGCTCATTTATTTTCTCTTCTTTAACTCTTCAAATCGACGAGTTAAATCGTCGAAATCGATGTCGTCGTTGTTGGTAGGCGAAGTTAAATGATCATCTGTTGGTACTGAAGGCAACTCGGGTAGATCCGGATAATTATTTCCTTCTGGCATTTTCGTCCGCGGAGCCGGTTTAGGTTGTTCTTTATTCTAAACTCACAGAAATAAGAAAACATTATGAGATAAGCGATAAATACACACCTTGTTAAAGTTGTCTGGTGGTAATGATGAATAAGGTGGTGGTAAAGATTCCTTTAATTAAAAAAAAAAATGTGCAAACATCAAATAAAAAGATAAGGAATGATTTTTTAAGTGAGATAAAATGATTCATAGATTAAAAATAGGTGCATTAAAAAATTTTTACCCCAAAATCGGTGTTTGATTCTTTTGATTCAGCTCCTGGTGGAATGTTATAAGAAAATGGGGCCCCATAAGGTGGGTTATTACTTGAAGAAGGAGCTGATGGGTTTAATGGACCAACAAAACCTCCTTGATCGGGAATATTTCCCCCCATAGGCTAAATAAAAAATTATTTATAACAACATAATAAATAACTACAATTTTACTTACAGGATAATTAAATGGACCTTGTAAAGGTAAAGGTGGGGGTTGTGGGTATCCAATAAATCCTGGTGGATACACGTTACCTCCACCCAAATTATTTTTATCACTTAAATCTATTAACATTCCATCCCGATTTCCTTCTCCTAAGATTTGTGGATCAGGGTCATAAGGTATATCATAAGTTTTAGCAATTTCAATCAAATATTTTTCAACAAGAAGTTTTGGAGGGCTCTGAATTGACATTTTATGTTTTAATTTAGGGCTTATTCTTGTCTCAGATTCGTTTCTACACGCTTCAGCGAATTGCAAACCATATTTTCCTGCTAATAAATCAGCAATCACTTTTAATTCAGGACAATCGGATTGTAAACGAGGGGCGACCCACATTATGCTAGCGATAGCTTCAGCTATACCCTCATCTAAGTCTTTCATTTGGGTGATTAAACCAAATCGTGCCAATAATAAATCACAGTACATTTCAACAACTTCCATAGCTTCAACTAAGTAATCCTCTCTAAAAACAAGTTAATTTTAGAATTATTTAAAAGTTAATTTGTAATTACTGACCTAACAATATGTTCAACACGAATTTTAGCACGTTCATATTTTCCAGCTTGGATAAAATCGGCGATTTCTCGCCGAGATTTTTGAGTCAACTCACTTTTTTTCTTCTCGAGCAGTTTTAACCTATTTATAGCTAATCTTAAATGCGTTTTTAATTTTGTATAATTCGGCCCGCTCGAAAACATCTTTACGATTTACACTTTTAAACAATACTGAGCTTACTTTAGATAATAATAAGTAGACTTTAAATGAGTAATTAATCTTGACTCATTTCTAATAAAAAATGACGTTTTCGCTGTCAAAAATGTCAAAAAAAGTTAGGTTATTGTGTTGTGTTAAGTCCATAGATATCTTTAAATATGGAGTGGGGCGAAAAGTAAAGGAGATGGATACATTAATAAATGTGGACTAGGAAAATTTAATGTTTATTTATAAACTTATTTTCTTTTCAATACGAAATTATATTAATTAAAAGTAATTAACACATATTTTTAGTAATAAAACTTACATTTTGATAATTATTTCATTTTTAGTTCTTTCTGCGCAATCTCCGCGATATAAACGTGTGTTACCGTCTGGTGTGGCTAAAATTGTACTTTTCAGTCTCCTTTTAGACGTCAAAGCGTTTAGAAAGTATCATTTCGACTTTCTCGCAAGTAAAAATTCAACCTAATTGTGGTTGTCATGACAACATTTGTTTAAATAATAGTAAAGCGTGTTTTTTGTGTGAAATGATGGCGGAAGACAGTGATTCTTCAAATAATTCCCTCACTGAGCTTAGATTGCAAAAGCCCCCGAATATATCGCAAATCGAATCGTTACCTGTAAAGTCGCAAAATTTGTACGAGAAGCGATATAAATTATTTATGACATGGTGCGCGAGTAATAAAGAAACGCATTATTCTGAAAATGTAATGTTAAGGTATTTTATGTACTTGGCGAAAAATTGCAAACCAACAACGTTATGGGCTGTTTATTCGATGTTAAAATCGACGTTGTTAATGAAAAATAAAATTGATATTAGATTGTACACGAGAGTTACTGCATTTCTTAAACAACAAAATGTTGGATATAAGAGTAAGCAATCGAAGGTTTTTACTCCTCAAGAGATTCTAAAATTTCTCCGGGAAGCCCCTAATGAAAGATATCTGATGTGGAAGGTAATTTTTTTTGAAATTTATTGTTGTTTATTTATTAAGTGCTGCTTATACGAAAATTTTGCGCAAGCGCAGAGCCTAGAAACATAATTACTGTACGAGTGTGGAGAATTTCACGACGAGGTCGTAGACCGAGTCGTATAATCACACGAGTACTGTAATTATGCTCTAGCCCAGTGTTTTCCAAACTTTTTTCATCGTGGAACACTCCTTAAGTTTTAAATTTTTGTGGTAGCAATCAACGAGGCAATAAACATGTAAAGCTTTAAAATTTTCTCATTAAAGATTTCATTTATTTTACACTTTTTCGCGAAACACTTACCGACTGTCTGCGGAACACAGTTTGGGAATCGCTGCTTTAGCCCACGTGTGATATACAACATTTTATCTACGACTGCTAAAAATTACTTAAAAATCAATTTCTTTAAAAAGTTCTATTTTGACATTTATAAAAATATTTTGAAATAATTGTTGACAATTTTGAATTAATGTCAGTTTCAATAACATGTTTACTCATCTGGAATAAGTGTTTCAAGATGTAAAAACATAACAATTAATGTTTATAATAAATAGTATTGTTTCACTTTAAATAGGTCGCACTTTTTCTTTTGTATTGTTGCTCGTTTCAATAAATTAAGTCTGTTCTGATTGGTGATGAACTTCATTACGTAACTCAAATCACCTCAAATGAGTGTGGTAATGATGACTTATCTAAGCAGTCGTAGATAAATAACTATTTATAGTTATTCACTTTGCTTACTTGGTACATAAAGAACTATTAGGTACTGTTTTAAGGATCTCTTAAATAAATTTTAAACTGGAATCAGAAAATAATATTATTCGGCCGGATTACAGTTAACGTTCGTTTTCTCGAAATATGTTGACATTTGTAATGATTTATAAAGTAGGTAAAAAATTTGAATTAATTCTTTTGCCCTGGTTTTATTTACAAAAAAAAAACAAATGTGTGATTTGTGAAATTGTATTGTAAACAGTGCTTACAATAATATTAAAACTTAATATAATATAAATTATATAAATTATAATATATATTACTATATAACCAAAATGAGTGATTCTGAGAGTNAGTGTTTTGAAATGTAAAAACATAACAATTAATGTTTATAATAAATAGTATTGTTTCACTTTAAATAGGTCGCACTTTTTCTTTTGTATTGTTGCTCGTTTCAATAAATTAAGTCTGTTCTGATTGGTGATTGACATTACGTAACTCAAATCACCTCAAATGAGTGTGGTAATGATGACTTATCTAAGCAGTCGTAGATAAATAACTATTTATAGTTATTCACTTTGCTGACTTGGTACATAAATAACTATTAGGTACTGTTTTAAGAATCTCTTAAATAAATTTTAAACTAGAATCAGAAAATAATATTATTCGGCCGGATTACAGTTAACGTTCGTTTTCTCGTTGAACTGGATGATTAATATAACAACGATTCAATAGTATATTAAGTATCCAGAACGGTAAGTACAATTTACCGGTTGACGACAATGTTTGACTCCAATAGTGTCGGAAATTGTATTGTAAACAGTGCTTACAATAATATTAAAACTTAATATAATATAAATTATAATATATATTACTATATAACCAAAATGAGTGATTCTGAGAGGGAAAATGGTGATGATATAGAAAAAAAGCTTGGAATATTGGACATTCGGCAATAATTCTCAAAAAATGGTGTGAAGTAAAGAATAAAAATACGAGTGAAAAAGTCTTGTTGGCATATTTGGTCGAAAGAAACGGAAAATTAAAAGCTGCAGGTAGTTTATGGTATATATTGAGTATATATTATACTCAATGTTGAAAGCGACAATTTTTTTACACGAATCCATTGATATATCCAAGTTTTCAACATTAATTGCCTTTCTAAAAAGAAAAAATGTTGGGTACAAACCTAAAAAAGCTAGTGTTTAAATTTTTAATTGAAGCATCAAACGAATTGTTTTTAATCCATAAGGTAAATTTAGATTACTTGTAAAAATACGAGGATATATTTCCGACAATGTATTTTTTAAGTACCAATGATATTAGGAGTAGCGGGAGCATGTCGCAGAGAAGAGTTATATAAAATGACTATTAAAGATATAGAAGATCGTGAATCTTTTATTATTATAACCATTCCAAATACAAAAACCAATATTCAGCGCACATTTACTGTCATAAATAAAAAAAACGAAAAAATTAATTATTTGAAAATTGTTCGGAAATATATTAAACTGCGGCCAAACAATGCAAAGTCGTTGCATTTATTCCTAAATTATCGGAATGGGAAATGTAAAAATCAGGTAGTCGGTAAAGGTACTATTGGAGCTTTATCATCGAAAATTGCTGAATACTTAAAATTGGAAAATGCAGTTAATTACACTGGTCACTCGTTTCGACGTACTTCAGCCACATTATTAGCCAATAAAGGTGTAGACGTTTTAGGACTAAAAAGACATGGAGGTTGGAAATCTTCGACTGTGGCTGAAAGTTATGTTGAAGATTCTCTTCAAAACAAAAATCAATTTGCAGAAAAGATTCTACATGATGATAATGAATCGCCTTGCAGCGTTTCTGATAATATACTACAATCGTCAGCTTGTGCTTCTACATCACGGACATTTTCTGTTGATACAAATACCGAAAAAAGCAATATTTCAATTTCTATTTCTAGCTGTAATAACTGTACATTTAATTTCAAATAAATTATATTTTTATTTGAAATTTTATTTATTATACTTACCGCTCTGTCGTTTTAGCCGTAGCAACCAGTAAAATCAACTTACCGTCATAGAAACACTACTCGTAAATAAACAAAATAGTCCGATCGTGCAAAAAGATTATTCACGGGCATTCACGGGTAACCAACTTGACAGACTAATAATAATTATTTGAAACGTTAAAATTTCAAAAAACGTCAATTTAATTCAATTTTTTAGGAGTTTCTAAAGGTTTGACATTAAAAAAACCTAAACATATTCCTTCTTTCGTATGATTTAAGCATAAATTTTGCATTAAGCACGAATTTGTTTAGGTTATTTTAATGTCAAACATTTAGAAACTCCTAAAAAATTGATTTAAATTGACGTTTTTTGAACTTTTAACGTTTCAAATAATTATTATTAGTTTGGTCAAGATGGCTACCCGTGAATAATGATTATTATTCACCGCTATTATTCACTCCGTGAAAAATGACTACCATTTTGTTTTAGAAAACTCATTCATAAGGTATATATTATAAGGTAGTCGTGGACAAAGTATAATATTCTACTCGTATATAGCTCTCATTATATGCTCATATAATAATATACTATTTTTAACTAAATTTTTGAATAAAGTTTAAACGTCAATATGACACAAATTCAATGTTACCAACCGTAACCAACTTCACAACAATTTGTCAAAATGAAATGTCAATTTTATGAAACGTTATGTTTTTTTTAACGAAAATTAATCAATCTATGCTTAAATCATACGAAAAAAGGAATTTATTTACGTTTTTTTAATTTCAAACCTTTAGAATGTTCTAAAAAATTAAATTAAATTGACGTTTTTTGAAATTTTGACGTTTCAAATAATTATTAGTCTGTCAAGTTGATTACCCGTGAATAATGATTATTCACCGCTATTATTCACTCTGAAAAATGACTACCCTTTTGTTTTAGAAAACTCATTTATAAGGTATACATATTATAAGGTAGTCGTCTACTCGAAAATAGTATATTAAAAAACAAGTTTCGTAAAACACGCTTGAAATGCACGAACTCAAGTTGAAAAACGAGTGGCGAAGCCACGAGTTTTTTAATGAATGAGTCCTTCAAGTCTTATGAAACGTGTTTTTTATGCTATTTTTTGTAATTCGCGTTTTTTTTCTGTTTTTTTAACAAAAATAAAATAAATTTTGACAATGTAGGGGAATGGGTATGTAGCAGTTGGTAACACTTGAAAATAGAATTAGAATTTGTCAAAACACAAAATGTATTGACCTTAAAAACAATGTTTCATGTACACATTCCAAAATAAGAGAAATTGCTCAGAGTTCAATGTCTTCATCATTGTGGACCTTGTAGTTGATGTTAAAAACGTGTTTAAACATCAATAGACAAAAATTGTCACATTGACACTAGAAAAATTAATGACCCAATGTCACCAATTTGAACTGGTTCCCATTGTTGTCTCATTACAGCACTCGTTTAAGTACTGTAATAGCTTTCATTACCGTTGCGAATTACAAAAAAATAATACAATATGTTTAGTCGACGGACCTTGGGTTAGAGCATAATTACAGTACTCGTCTGATTACACGACTCGGTCTACGACCTTGTCGTGCAGTTCTCCACACTCGTACAATAATTATGTTTCTAGCCGACTTGTAATATAAATAACTATTACATGTCTTTCTAACGTTATGTAACTTCGCTTTTTTATAACTAGTGATTTAATGAATTCCATTACCTAACTACAAATTGATAAATTGTCAATCTGTTAGTAATAGAATAAGTCAAGTTTTGAACAAATATTGTTTTTTCAATGGAATTAGATAAAATTTTGTACTTAACTCACGTAATTTACAGAACTCGCTCGCTTCTCTCGTCAAACAAAATTAATCTTTTCATAACTGGTTACGTAAATAACTATTACGTCACGTAATTTGCAAAACTCGCTCGCTCGTTCGTCAAACAAAATTAGTCTTTTCATAACTGGTTACGTAAAATTTAATTTTCATAATGGAGTTAGGTAATTTAAATTTAAAGAAAGATGTTTTATTATCAACCCTTATATTTTATATCATGTGTAATATAAATAGCTATTATATATCTTATAGGGTAGAAGCATGATTACAATAACGAGTCTGTAGTATTCCAGGACGAGGTCATAGCCCGACTCGTATAATCGCACGAGTGCTGTAGTTACTTTGTAACCGGAGCTTAGTACAATAATTTATTTTCATATGATCCGGTTTAATCACACGCATGGATGTGATACAAAATTTTATATACTGCTTGGAAAAATTAATTTAATCATTTACTTCTTTTGTCAAGTAACAATTGTAGAATTTATAAAAAAATTGAAAATATCTTATTTATCTCCATACATTTCAGAGACCCTGTATATTAATTTTTATAATTTATTAATTTTTAGGTTTGTTTATTAATTGGGATATCTGGAGGTTGTGGTAGAGATGAATTACGAAAATTAAAAGTAAAAGATATCGCCGATAAAGAGGATATGTTAATAATAACAATACCAAATTCGAATGGGAAAATGCGAACATTTACGATTACAAACGACATGTTTGACGGAGTAGAACCTTTACAACTTTACAGAGAATATTTCTCATTAAGGCCAATTCACTGTGAACACAACACATTTTTTGTTAATTATAGAATGGGAAAATGTTCAGTACAAGTAATTGGTATCAACACATTTTCAAAAATTCCCAGTTTGATTGCAAAGTATTTACAATTGCCGAATCAACGAGAATACACCGGTTTCTGTTTTCGTCGAACTTCCGCTTTGTGGTTAGCAAGCGCTGGTGCTGATGCATTTACGCTAAGAAGACTTGTTGGATGGAGAACATCTTCGATAGCTAGACGTTATATTGATGAAGGATATTCTAGTACTAAAAAAAATAATAATGCGGAAGAATCTGTTGGAAGTAATATCGTTAATATTAACGATAACTCTACTTCTAATGAATTTAATTTAACTAAAGATAATATAGCGGATGGTATAACAATAAATGGAATGGAAACTGAGATTAAAATTTGTCCAAATAATGATCCATTAGACGATAACGACATTAATGAAGCAACATTTACTGCAACAATCCCAGAAATTTCAAATGAATCATCTAATGATGTAAATCCTGAAACGAATCAACAACCACGTGTTACTACTTCAGGATCTTGTGTTAATATTTATAATTGTACAAATTGTACTATTATTATTAATAGAAAATAGTTATTTATTGATGTTACTTTATTTATTCTTAATAAAGATTTAAAAATGCGTATATATTATTCTTACAATAAATATTAAAACAAAAATTAATTATATTAATTTAGCTGGAACAAAATGTTTATAATAAGCCCTAGTAAAATCAATCATTAAATCCATTTCACACTCGGGAACCTCTCCAAACTGCATCCCAGGATTTCCTTTATATCTTGTAAATGGTGGATAACAGTTTCAGGAGGGATAACAGCATTATCCTCTATAACACAGCAATCTTTTAACTGGCATCGTCGCCCTATCACGCAATTTTTCCCAATATAGACGTACGATCCAACCACAGCAGCATTAACCACAGAATTTTCACCAATAAACGCATTATCTCCCATAATTAACAGAAAAAATGCGACTCCTTTACTCAATTTTTTAAAAGGGGGTCGAATAACTGCTCCTTTACTAATTACACAGTATCGCCCCATTTTTACACTCGCCAAATCGCCTCGAATTATAGCATTCGATTGAACTATAACCCTTCCTTGAAGAATTATATTTTGCGAACCACACAGAACCGATTGTTTGCTTACTTTGTTACCGGAAGCTGTTTCCACTTAATCACCTTTCCGATATGTTATATCACGAAAATGGACCTTGTAAAGGTAAAGGTGGGGGTTGTGGATATCCAATAAATCCTGGTGGATACACATTACCTCCACCCAAATTATTTTTATCACTTAAATCTATTAACATTCCATCCCGATTTCCTTCTCCTAAGATTTGTGGATCAGGGTCATAAGGAATATCATAAGTTTTAGCAATTTCAATCAAATATTTTTCAACAAGAAGTTTTGGAGGGCTCTGAATTGACATTTTATGTTTTAATTTAGGGCTTATTCTTGTCTCAGATTCGTTTCTACACGCTTCAGCGAATTGCAAACCATATTTTCCTGCTAATAAATCAGCAATCACTTTTAATTCAGGACAATCAGATTGTAAACGAGGGGCGACCCACATTATGCTAGCGATAGCTTCGGCAATTCCCTCATCTAAGTCTTTCATTTGGGTGATTAAACCAAATCGTGCCAATAATAAATCACAGTCCATTTCAACAACTTCCATAGCTTCAACTAAGTAATCCTCTCTAAAAACAAGTTAATTTTAGAATTATTTAAAAGTTAATTTGTAATTACTGACCTAACAATATGTTCAACACGAATTTTAGCACGTTCATATTTTCCAGCTTGGATAAAATCGGCGATTTCTCGCCGAGATTTTTGAGTCAACTCACTTTTTTTCTTCTCGAGCAGTTTTAACCTATTTATAGCTAATCTTAAATGCGTTTTTAATTTTGTATAATTCGGCCCGCTCGAAAACATCTTTACGATTTACACTTTTAAACAATACTGAGCTTACTTTAGATAATAATAAGTAGACTTTAAATGAGTAATTAATCGTGACTCATTTCTAATAAAAAATGACGTTTTCGCTGTCAAAAATGTCAAAAAAAGTTAGGTTATTGTGTTGTGTTAAGTCCATAGATATCTTTAAATATGGAGTGGGGCGAAAAGTAAAGGAGATGGATACATTAATAAATGTGGACTAGGAAAATTTAATGTTTATTTATAAACTTATTTTCTTTTCAATACGAAATTATATTAATTAAAAGTAATTAACACATATTTTTAGTAATAAAACTTACATTTTGATAATTATTTCATTTTTAGTTCTTTCTGCGCAATCTCCGCGATATAAACGTGTGTTACCGTCTGGTGTGGCTAAAATTGTACTTTTCAGTCTCCTTTTAGACGTCAAAGCGTTTAGAAAGTATCATTTCGACATTCTCGCAAGTAAAAATTCAACCTAATTGTGGTTGTCATGACAACATTTGTTTAAATAATAGTAAAGCGTGTTTTTTGTGTGAAATGATGGCGGAAGATAGTGATTCTTCAAATAATTCCCTCACTCAGCTTAGATTGCAAAAGCCCCCGAATATATCGCAAATCGAATCGTTACCTGTAAAGTCGCAAAATTTGTACGAGAAGCGATATAAATTATTTATGACATGGTGCGCGAGTAATAAAGAAACGCATTATTCTGAAAACGTAATGTTAAGATATTTTATGTACTTGGCGAAAAATTGCAAACCAACAACGTTATGGGCTGTTTATTCGATGCTAAAATCGACGTTGTTAATCAAAAATAAAATTGATATTAGATTGTACACGAGAGTTACTGCATTTCTTAAACAACAAAATGTTGGATATAAAAGTAAGCAATCGAAGGTTTTTACTCCTCAAGAGATTCTAAAATTTCTTCGGGAAGCCCCTAATGAAAGATATCTGATGTGGAAGGTAATTTTTTTGAAATTTATTGTTATTTATTTATTAAGTGCTGCTTATACGTCAATTTTGCGCAAGCGCAGAGCCTAGAAACATAATTACTGTACGAGTGTGGAGAATTTCACGACGAGGTCGTAGACCGAGTCGTATAATCACAGGAGTACTGTAATGACTGTAATTATGCTCTAGCCCAGTGTTTTCCAAACTTTTTTCACCGTGGAATACTCCTTAAGTTTTAAATTTTTGTGGTAGCAATCAACGAGGCAATAAACATGTAAAGGTTTAAAATTTTTTCATTAAAGATTTCATTTATTTTATACTTTTTTGCGGAACACTTACCGACTGTCTGCGGAACACAGTTTGGGAATCGCTGTTTTAGCCGACGTGTGATATACAACATTTTATCTACGACTGCTAAAAATTACTTAAAAATCATTTCTTTAAAAAGTTCTATTTTGACATTTTTAAAATATTTTGAAATAATTAAATAATAAGCAGACGAACATAAAGAGTACATACATAACAAAAATTAAAGCCAAAGATACAGTCAGTCCCAAAAGTCATCGTGCAGCAACGATTTTTGCATGATTTCTAAAATAGGATCATAAATAATAGTATATTATTATACGAACATATAATGAGTGCTATTATTTACTAAGGTCACGAGCGTATCGAGTGGCATAATTAACCTGAGTGAACAATAGCTATACTTTGTCCACGACTACTATTGAAATTGATTCTATAAATTTATTTTTTTAAATAAATTTTTGAATAAAGTTTAAACGTCAATGTGACACAAATTCACTGTTACCAACTGTAACCAACTTCACAACAATTTGACAAAATTAAATGTCAATTTTATGAAACGTCATGTTTTATTTTTACGAAAATGAATTAATTTATGGTTAAATCATACGAAAAAAGGAATTTATCTACAACTATTGAATTATCTATTCGTTATACAATTGATTTTTGACGGGTAATGACACGCATTACTCGCATGACTGACAAGTGTTGAATAATAAAACCATTATTCCCCAGTTCTGATACGACCTACTAATCAAAAAATAAAATATAACAGAAATTATAGCTTTCTTATATTGAGGTTATGTCTGAAATGTCTATTAAGTTTTTTTTTCTTTTTTCGATTTTTTTTCAAAATTAAATAGTTGTAGATAAAGTATAGTATTCAACTTGCGTATAATGGATGTGACCCACTCAGATTACAACACTCGCTCGCTTCGCTCGCTCGTGTTGCAACATCATCTTCGTGGGTAACAGCCGCCATTATACGCTTGTTGAATAATATACTATTGTTTACGTTTTTTAAGTCAAACCTTTAGAAAGTCTTAAAAAAATTAAATTAAATTCACGTTTTTTTGAAATTTTGACATTTCAAATTATTATTAGTCTGTCAAGTTGCACCGCTACTATTCAGTTTGTAAAAAATGACTACCCTTGTGTTTTAGAAAACTCATTTATAAGGTATATATTATAAGATAGTCGTGAGTATATTATTATACGAGCATAATAATGAGGGCTATTATTCATTAAGGTTAAATTTATGTCACGAGCGTAGCCAGAGGCATAATTAACCTGAGTGAATAATAGCTCATTAAATGCGAGTAGAATACAATACTTTGTCCACGACTACTATTGAAATTGATTACATAAATTTATTTTGTCCACGACTACCTTGTAATATATACCTTATGAATGAGTTTTCTAAAACAAAAGGGTAGTCATTTTTCACGGAGTGAATAACATAGAAAATAGCTTCGTAGACATGCAACTCTCTAAACAAAAACTTCGTACTAAAGGCAAGGATGGTAAACTATTTAGAATCTACTATCCTTGTACTAAAGGTATTAAAAAAATTTTAACGCATATGGCGCCATCTGTTGGGGATATTTTGGAATTATTCAGCTAAGAACCGAATCACTAGAATACAGGTGGATCGGGTTTATATATAAAAGCTCCAACCACAGAATAACTGTTTGGAAAGTAGTGGCTCCAATTAACGTTCCGACTGGTTGGGAGTTCCTCAGATACAATTACCTATGGCAATTACACCTGTCAAATAATGCCGCCACGTTTGAATATCACTGCATCATATGACATGTGAGATTACATCTGACGAGCTTCCAACCAACAAGGTTAACGTTAACTGAAACAAAGCTATAATGTCAATTATAATCTAATTATTTAATCATACCATTATTACTTTATTATACTCTTACCGAAAAATCACTTTAAAATGACATTTTCATCTGTCATTCTGAACAAACTTCAACTTTTAAAAGTTTTAGCGGCAAATTTAAAAATACAACACGAATTGGAATCTATACTTTTTAAATTAAAAGAATGATACTGGTAATAATTGTTATTGCTGTCTCTCATCATTCCCACTATTAATAATAAAATTGTTAGTTTAATTAAATTATTTCAGTATAGCCGCTAATGCCATCTTACGGTGGGATTTCGACATACAATCAGTCCCAAGTTCTCCTATCAAAGATCCCTGGTTAAACGTAGACGTTAAAATTTCAAAAAACCTCAATTTAATTCAATTTTTAGGAGTTTCTAAAGGTTTGACATTAAAAAAACCTAAACAAATTCCTTTTTTCCTAAAACGACGTTTTATAAAATTGACATTTAATTTTGACAAATTGTTGTGACGTTGGTCACAGTTAGTAACATTGAATTTGTGTCACATTGACGTTTAAACTTTATTCAATAATTTATTTATTGTCAAATTGAAAATTAATTAATTTATGCTTAAATCATACGAAAAAAGGAATTTGTTTACGTTTTGTCAATTTCAACTTTTAGAAAGTTCTAAAAAATTAAATGAAATTGACGTTTTTTGAAATTTTGACGTTTCAAATAATTATTAGTCTGTCAAGTTGATTACCCGTGAATAATGATTATTCACCGCTATTATTCACTCTGAAAAATGACTACCCTTTTGTTTTAGAAAACTCATTTATAAGGTATATATATCATAAGGTAGTCGTCTACTCGAAAATAGTATATTAAAAAACAAGTTTCGTAAGACACGCTTGAAATGCACGAATTGAAGTTGAAAAACGAGTGGCGAAGCCACGAGTTTTTTAATGAATGAGTCCTTCAAGTCTTATGAAACGTGTTTTTTATGTTATTTTTTGTAATTCGCGTTTTTATCCTTATTTTTTTTTAACAAAAATAAAATAAATTTTGACAATGTAGGGGAATGGGTATGTAGCAGTTGGTAACACTTGAAAATAGAAATTGAATTGACAATTAGAACTAGTCAAAACACAAAATGTATTAAAGTTCAATGTCCTCATCGTTTGTAGACCTTGTTGATGTTAAGAACGTGTTTAAACATCCATAGACAAAAATTGTCACATTGACAACTAAAAAAATTAATGACCCATTGTCACAAATTTGAACTGGTTCCATAAAATGTTACTTATTGTTGTCTCATTACAGCACCCGTTTGAGTACTGTAATAACTTTAATTACCGTTGCGAATTACAAAAAAGTAATACAATTTAGTCGACGTACCTTGGGTTAGAGCATAATTACAGTACTCGGGTGATTACACGATTCGGTCTACGACCTTGTCGTGCAGTTCTCCACACTCGTACAATAATTATGTTTCTAGCCGAGTTGTAATATAAACAACTATTACATATCTTTCTAACGTTATGTAACTTCACATTTTTTATAACTAGTGATGTAATGAATTCCATTACCTAACTACAAATTGATAAATTGACAATCTGTCAGTAATAGAATAAGTCAAGTTTTGAACAAATATTGTTTTTTCAATGGAATTAGATAAAATTTTGTACTTAACTCACGTAATTTACAGAGCTCGCTCGCTTCGCTCGTCAAACAAAATTAGTCTTTTCATAACTGGTTACGTAAAATTTAATTTTCATAATGGAGTTAGGTAATNACGTTTTTTCAATTTCAAACTTTTAGAAAGTTCTAAAAAATTAAATGAAATTGACGTTTTTTGAAATTTTGACGTTTCAAATAATTATTAGTCTGTCAAGTTGATTACCCGTGAATAATGATTATTCACCGCTATTATTCACTCTGAAAAATGATACTCTTTTGACTTAGAAAACTCATTTATAAGGTAGTCGTGTACTCGAAAATAGTATACTAAAAAACAAGTTTCGTAAGCAGGCTTGAAATGCACGAATTCCAGTTGAAAAACGAGTTTTTTAATGAATGAGTCCTTCAAGTCTTATGAAACGTGTTTTTTATGCTATTTTTTGTAATTCGCGTTTTTATCCTTTTTTTTTAACTAAATTAAAATAAATTTTGACAATGTAGGGGAATGGGTATGTAGCAGTTGGTAACACTTGAAAATAGAAATTGAACTGACAATTACAAATTGTCAAAACATAAAATGTATTCACCATAAAAAGAATGTTTCATGTACACCTTCCAAAATAAGAAAAATTGCTTACAGTTCAATGTCCTCATCATTGTGGATTTTGTATTCGATGCTAAGAACGTGTTTAAACATCCATAGACAAAAATTGTCACATTGACAACTAGAAAAATTAATGACCCAATGTCACCAACTTGAACTGGTTCCATAAAATGTTACTTATTGTTGTCTCATTACAGCACCCATTAATTCACGTAATTTACAGAGCTCGCTCGCTTCGCTCGTCAAACAAAATTAGTCTTTTCATAACTGGTTACGTAAAATTTAATTTTCATAATGGAGTTAGGTAATTTAAATTTAAAGAAAGATGTTTTATTATCAACCCTTATATTTTATATCATGTATAATATAAATAGCTATTATATATCTTATAGGGTAGAAACATGATCACAATAACGAGTCTGTAGTATTCCAGGACGAGGTCATAGCCCGACTCGTATAATCACACGAGTGCTGTAGTTACTTTGTAACCGGAGCTTAGTATAATAATTTGTTTTCGTATGATCCGGTTTAATCACACGCATGGATGTGATACAAAATTTTATATACTGCTTGGAAAAATTAATTTAATCGTTTACTTCATTTGTCAAATAACAATTGTAGAATTTATAAAAAAATTAAAAATATCTTAGTTATCTCCATACACATCAGAGACCCTGTATATTAATTTTTATAACTTATTAATTTTTAGGTTTGTTTATTAATTGGGATATCTGGAGGTTGTGGTAAAGATGAATTACGAAAATTAAGAGTAAAAGATATCGCCGATAAAGAGGATATGTTAATAATAACAATACCAAATTCGAATGGGAAAATGCGAACATTTACGATTACAAACGACATGTTTGACGGAGTAGAACCTTTACAACTTTACAGAGAATATTTCTCATTAAGGCCAATTCACTGCGAACACAACACATTTTTTGTTAGTTATAAAATGGGGAAATGTTCAGTACAAGTAATTGGTATCAACACATTTTCAAAAATTCCCAGTTTGATTGCAAAGTATTTACAATTGCCGAATCAACGAGAATACACCGGTTTCTGTTTTCGTCGAACTTCCGCTTTGTGGTTAGCAAGCGCTGGTGCTGATGCATTTGCGCTAAGAAGACTTGTTGGATGGAGAACATCTTCGATAGCTAGACGTTATATTGATGAAGGATATTCTAGTACTAAAAAAAATAATAATGCGGAAGAATCTGTTGGAAGTAATATCGTTAATATTAACGATAACTCTACTTCTAATGAATTTAATTTAACTAAAGATAATATAGCGGATGGTATAACAATAAATGGAATGAAAACTGAGATTAAAATTTGTCCAAATAATGATCCATTAGACGATAACGACATTAATGAAGCAACATTTACTGCAACAATCCCAGAAATTTCAAATGAATCATCTAATGATGTAAATCCTGAAACGAATCAACAACCACATGTTACTACTTCTGGATCTTGTGTTAATATTTATAATTGTACTAATTGTACTATTATTATTAATAGAAAATAGTTATTTATTGATGTTACTTTATTTATTCTTAATAAAGATTTAAAAATGCATATATATTATTCTTACAATAAATATTAATACAAAAATTAATTATATTAATTTAGCTGGAACAAAATGTTTATAATAAGCCCTGGTAAAATCAATCATTAAATCCATTTCACACTCAGGAACCTCTCCAAACTGCATCCCAGGATTTCCTTTATACCTTGTAAACGGTGGTATAACAGTTTCAGGAGGAATAACAGCATTATCCTCTATAACACAGCAATCTTTTAACTGGCATCGTCGCCCTATCACGCAATTTTTCCCAATATAGACGTACGATCCAACCACAGCAGCATTAACCACAGAATTTTCACCAATAAACACATTATCTCCCATAATTAACGGAAAAAATGCGACTCCTTTACTAAATTTTTTAAAAGGGGGTCGAATAACTGCTCCTTTACTAATTACACAGTATCGCCCCGTTTTTACACTCGCCAAATCGCCTCGAATTATAGCATCCGCTTGAACTATAACCCTTCCTTGAAGAATTATATTTTGCGAACCACACAGAACCGATTGTTTGCTTACTTTGTTACCGGAAGCTGTTTCCACGTAATCACCTTTCCGATATGTTATATCACGCATTTCCATTATTAATTTGTGTTAAATCGTTTAATACAAAAGATTGGTTTTTATGAAATATTTGACGTTTGTAGGTTAGATTTTTTGACAGGTGAAAGTAAGGTTAGGATTAACACAATAATAAATTTAGGGTTCCATAAATCATTATTTAATGTACAATATATATTGTATTACAGAAAATTATACAGGAGTAAAAGAAATTATTTTAAATCGTTTGATAGAAAAGATTAATTTTTATGAAAAATTTGACGTTTGTAGGTTAGATTTTTTGACAGATGAAAGTTAGGTTAGGATTTGGATAAATTTAAATTTTTTGATAAAAATACAATAATTATTGGTTTCCATAAATCATTATTTAATGTACAATATATGTAGTATTACAGAAAATTGTCCAGGAGAGAAAAGAAAAACAAGAATTATAACGTAGTTCAACATATTAAGGTTGTTAAAAACAAATATATTCCTAATTATTACAATAAAACATCGATAATGTATTTACAAAATGGAGTGTAGATAACTTAAAAATACCTAAACTAACTATTCTAGTGCTACAGTGACTTACCAAGAAATCAATTTGTACAAAAAATATATGAGTTTATAAACAGTATAAGGTAATTTACATGTACCCAAACATTTTTTTACATATCTGATAAATTAGATAATTTTTCAAATAATTTTTCCATTCAAAATTAATTTAAATTATCTTGTTTTTGAAAATAACAAATAAAAGTTTGTACTTATGTTAAATAAATGGAGATAAACTTTGTTTTAATAAGACGAAATAAAAAACTAATTCAAACTTTTTTTTAGCACCAATGTCAAACAAAAAAATTCTCTTACACCATTCATAAAATTAAATATTTTAACTCTCAACACTCATCTTCCAACCCTGGAATAGGAGGTTGACTCATGTCCCGAGATCTTTTACTTTGCAATGGACACACATTTTGTGCTTGTGGAGGGGCGACGATTAATGGTGGAGGTTGAGAAAACAAACTCGGACTTGGAGTATAAATTGGAGGTGGTGGAACCTCTTTTTCAGGTTCATTCCTTTTTTGTTTTTTCACCGGCGTTTCGGTTTCTCCCAACATTTCAGCCGCTTTCCTAATCAGATCTTCTTCAGATAAGGAACTCAACACGCTTGAAGAACTTTTATCAGCTTCTGCAGACGGTTGGGGAGAATTAGCAGCCGATTGTTTATTTCCTTTCAATTTAGGGAGATTTAACGGAATCGTTGGAGATGACGTTTCAACTTTTTGATTTGTACGCGAACTTATTTTCGGAAGCATTAAAGGAATTGTCAAATCTTGTTGAGGGGACGATACCACTTTACTAGTCTAAAAGTAAAATGAGATTTAAATAATTGAATAATAAATAACCTTTATTATTTAACTTACTGGCGAATCGGATTCTGTTTTTGTTTGTGCTCCAATGATTTTAATGTTTTCTAGAATCTGTTGGAGATTATTTGGTAAAGCTATATTAGCTAAAGCTGACGTTCCTATATCAGAGCTTGTGGCTGAAGCTGAAGAAACGATATCTTGGGACATGTTTTGTATTTCCGCTTGTTGCATCGCGATTATTTGATCTAATTCAGCCATTTTTCTTTGTAATTCCAGCGTACTTGCAGGAAGGTTGTTGGTGTCTTGCAAATCTAAGCCTAAAATCCCACAAAAAAAAAATTAAAAATGATAATCCCAAATTAATTTCAATACAACTTACCTGGTATATCATCAAATTTATTACTAAAAGGTTTAAAGGTTTGCGACGAAAGAAATGATGAATTACTTTTAATAACTGGATTTATTAAGGTTGTTGTAGTAGTAGAAGCAGCTTGGGTAGCAGTTTTATTAGTGGAGTCTGTAGATGGCAGTGGTGGAGTTGTAGCTTCAGGATCTGAATCTTCGGGACTATAAGGTTCATCTTCATCAGCAGTACTCGTTGCTGAAGGAGCTGGCAGTGGCGTTGATGTGTTATAAACAGGTTTTAATCGGGGATCGCGACTCGGTGGTGGAGTGTAAGATCTTGTGGTTGTAGCAGGAAGTGGAGGCGTTGCCGAACGGGCTTTTACAGTTGGGGAGGAAACGGATGAATCAATTTTTGATTTTTTATTCAAAACGGCGCTTGTTATTGAATCTAACATTGGTCGTTTTCGTTTATCACGGACGATTATTCCAACCAACAAAGGTGGACGATTATCTTCAAATCCTACAAATAAATAATAAATTAAAAAATTAAGAGATTATTTTTAATTTTAATTTACCTGCTCCATTTATTGGGAGTAAAGCTGGCGGAATAGGATCGTTACTACCCAATGGCAAAATGTAAAAATCTTTCACTGCTTTGTTGATAGATTTAACGACTCCTAAACGATTTCTGCTTGATAAATAACTATACAGTGCGATGTAAGGCATCTTTTCTTCTATGTTTGTCGCGTTTAGGCGGAGTAACGAGATCATTTTGCTGTGTAAACACTTCATTTTTCCTATATAATCCCACACAGTTTCTGGAGTAATTCTTCCAACTATATCTAATGATGGTGGAAGTTCATCACTTAACCCATTACAATCTCCTAAAAAAATTTATTTGTTGTAATTATGTTTTTAAATTGTACATTAATTTCTAACCAGAAACTTCATGTGCTGTAATTGATATTTGAGCAACATCCACCATATTAATTGTTCCAGTCCATATATTATCAGCTGTTCGAGACTCAACACTTTCTGCTTTAGGAGAAATTGATTCAATAGTTTCTACCGATATTGATTTTATTGGTTTTTTCTTTTCTACAATTGATATTAATATTATTTTAGTACTTATAATAAATAAAAAAATAAGCATTAAATAAAGTGACACTCTTCTTATTAATTGTGTATGCACCTTTATTAATAAATATCTTTAGAAGAAAAATCATATCAAGTGAAGTATTGATAAGTTCATCTGATGATAAAACTGATTTTTTTGGAATTATCTAACAGTTAATTGTTAATGCAGAAAACAATATCCTTTTATTCAGAGCTTGTTGAAGCAAATACCAAAAATTATCTCCTTAAAGGTTTCCTTACAACAAAACAGGTAAGGGTTATTGAACTATTCAGCTAAGGTAAGTACTTGAGCGGGATACGCAGGCAACTATTTTAAAATATTTATAGTTACATTGGAAAGAGTATTAATATCTAAAAATCGAAAATCTTTCTCATCCAAGTGATATAAAGAGATAGGGTAGATGGCACCTAACAGACTGTGCCTTTGAAAAGGGACAAGGGAGCCACCTTAACCCAGAACAAATACTCCAGGCAATTACAACCTTTGTTTAGAAATATGGAAAGTATAATTTATTTATGTGTAAATGGCAGGAAGTAATTACAAGGAGAGAAGGAAATCTGCGGCAGAAATAAGAACAGAATGATATTCATAGCAATGATTTGCAGTTCTTTTGAAGTTAGTAACAGCTATGTATTTTTAGTTTTCCAAGCGTCTGAGCCAATTTTTCAATAACTTGAAGTTAAACAGATGTTTTTCCTTATGGCAATGTTACATTCAATTAATTTTTAATCATTTATTTCATTTAATATACAATTTATTAGATCTTAAACTAGTTATAGCTTGAATAACGAAAAAAGTATTCTTCTGTAACAATTAAAGCCCGGACAATTTAGGTAACGTGCGCTCTCCACACGCTTTATGTTGCTGAACTTGGGTTAAGGGCGTTTGATAGGTACTTTCCCAAATTGTCCGGGCCTTGGTAATAACCCTTGAGATAGATGAGCCAATAAGAAATCTAAGAATAGAGTAAATTTTGTATCAAATATTATGTGTCTTTTGGACAATGTCTTACCACCACTGCCACTATTTATACCTAGCTAAAAATTGAAGATTATTTTACAGTACAAAACAATCTTTTGAAACTATGAAATTGATTAAAAGATGTCAGATTTGGAAAAATGAAGTTAAAAGAAAGGAAGTAAAGTTTAGTTATATTTACTGTATATTTTTATAACTTTTGCGTAAAAAATGTATGTATGATTTCAAAATTTATTAAGGATTACTTATCAATAATAAAAACAAATATTTTGTACAAACTTTTGACAAAAGAAATGTACGTTAAGAAGTTAAATCATAGAGGAAAGAGGTGTGTTTTCCAAAATAATCAAGCAATTTCTAAAAATGTTCAAGGCTTTCAAAGATATTCCAAAGGGTTTCAAGGATATCAAGTTATTTCAACGTTTTCATTTGGTTCTGAAATGTTACAGCTTAGTGGTGTTTTACTAACTGCCACTTTTTTTGTCACCGAACTAGATGAAACTAAACAAATACTTCCAGTTCGTTAATAAAGATTTCTTTGTTAGTTACTATAATTTTGTATTAATTCGTTTACTTCATGTGTCTATAATTAATAGTCAGTCATTATCTAAATTCAGAAACATTCGGGTTTAGTCGTGAAAAAAAACTTTCAGTTGTCAATGTCAACTTTAATTTTATTATTATATTCGTAATCTAGATAAAATAACCTTTAAAGTGAGTCCAAACATGACGCATTTATCTCATAAAACCAAAAAGTTCGAACTTTCCACTTTTAATTTTGACATGAAACAGGTTAAAAATAAAAAGAAAGTGCGGAAAAGTGACTAACACTAGATTAACTTCAGTTATAAAACTTCTATTATATGATAACTAACTTCAGGTTTAAAAGGCAACCTCAATTTCGACATATTTGTAATCTTCATAAAAAATCCTTCAAAATTAGTCCAAACTCGACATACTTAACTTTAATATTAATGGAGATACAATCACTTCCGGTTTGAAACGTCAATTTTGACATAAATGTCATCTTCATTAAAAAACCTTTAAAGTGAGTTCAAAGGTGATCACTTATTTCAAAGAACAAAAAACATTAAACCCAAAATTAGCAACAATGAAGATAGCAATTCAATTTTAAATATTAATACCAACCTTAATTTTTATTTTATGTCAAAATGACGTTGACATTTCAAACCGGAAGTTGACCATAACTTCATTAATATTGAAGATAAATATGTCGTGTTTGTACTCATTTTAAAGGATTTTTCATGAAGATTACAAATATGTCTAAATTGAGGTTGACATTTTAAACCTGATTGTAGTTATTATATAATAGAAGTTTTATAACTGAAGTTAATCTAGTGTCTTTTATTTTTAACCTGTTTTTTTGGGTCATTTCACGTTGATTAAAAAAAAATCGTCGATTTTCAAGTCACATGATGGTTCTTGAATTTTTTCCAAGTCAATTTTCAATAGTTTGAGATTGTCTATTCTGAGAAATCTTATATTTTTAAAGAGATGAAAACGAAAATCTCGTTTTTCTCAACATTGTTCATTTGTGGCTTAGTCAAGTGATGCATAAAGCGGTCCAATTTGTTTTATTAATTATTATAATGGTTTTATTGCAATGTACTCTAATTATTATTGAAGATGTTCCAAATGTCGCTCATTAATTCCGAAATAAAATTAAAGAACTGATTGGCTAGTAAAATATTATTATTATTATTATTTCAATTTCCCCTTCAACACAGCAAAATTTCGCCATAAAGCGATTTAAATGAAATTATAATATGCCATAGCCACATTTTGTAATGGTTTTGATGTCAAGTTATCTTTTATTTTTACAAATTTGGAAAATTGTAATCTTATTTTCTATAAGAAAGTATTAACAACTCAAAACTTCAAAATTTAAAACAACTCAAAATCATAAAAATCCATGATGTGGTTTCCCTCTATTAGTATCTACATAATATGTTTAGTATATGCCTAGGAATAAGAAAAGTGTCAGTTTATTACTTTTTTCTTGTATGAGGTATTAAAATAAATTTAAAAAATAAGACTTTTTTTACCTGTTTTATCAGTTGTAACTGTCATAACTGGTGTACTCTGTGGTTCATCACTTTCGCTATTTCTTGGTGGTGTAGGAATTGTAACGGTAGAACTAGGTTCGTGATCACTATCGCTCTCTGGATTACCAGCAACAACATCTTCTTGCGGAACATGCTTCCATAATCGATCTTCAAGCGGTGGAACGATTTGTTTATCAACGAGTTGCTCCAAAATTTCCTTCGATTTCTTATCCAACTTAGTTTCTGCGGCCGGTTCTTTTTTGTGCCTTGAACTTTTATGCGAGCTTTTCCTATGACGATCTCTATCGCGACTTCTCGATCTATGTTTATCGCTATGCCTAGAACGATCCCTGCTACGCGATCTTTTCTTTCGATCGCGTTCTTTATCTCTACTCCTATCTTTATCCTTATCTCTATCTCTACTGCTTGAACGATGATCTTTCCTTCTTTCTTTGCTATCGCTTTTTTCTTTACTCGATTTTCTATCTCGGCTTCTTTCGCGCTTTTTCGAAGATTTTTTATCTTTATCTTTCGACGAGTCCTTTTTCCCATCATCCTTTTCAACTTCGTTGTTTAACGCGGTTATAACTTCCGTTACAGTTTGATCTTTTGGTCGATCGTCTTCGAAAACTTGTTCTCCTTTATGGGTTTTAAATACGTATTGTCTATTACAATTTAATAACTCCAATTCAGATTTTTCAATCATATCTAATTGGTGTTTAGCTTCCCGTTGTCTCCAAAGTGCTAATTCTTGGCTAGCTAAATCATCATGCGATAAACGCACCAATTGATACGGATTGATCGCTTTCTCACAAATCCTCCTCCATAAAGTTTGATTTTTAACATCTTTTATGTTAAAAATTAAACTACGATATTTCGTCCTATATTTTTGCCCTGTATCTCCGAAACATTTATAAAGTTGACTTTCTATGTCGTTAGAAATGTTTGTTACTTCATTCGGGGTTAATTTTAAATCGTCGGTCATTTTTAATCGATTCATTAATTGTTCCATTAAAGTTTTTCTTACATTATCGCGTACATTTTCAGTTTTTGGTTGTTGATTAACTTCCGCTTGGCGTGCTTTAGGAGTTTTCATTACGACCACTTTTTCTTTTGGGGGCGGTGGTGTCGTTTGTTGTCTCACTCCAGGGTTTAAAATTCTCGGTTTTGTTGGTGTTGTTGTATTTGTTACTGCTGATTGCGGTCTTGTTATTGGTACTGGTTGAATTAATTTAACCGTTTTTTGGGGAGTCGATGGTGCGTTTTTATTTAGAATTTTTACACCAGTAATCTAAAGTGACAAGAAAATAATTTACCTTAAATATAGGAACTTTTAAAATGTTTGTTTTTTTTAATTTTGACATTTGACTTTTTCAATGATGAGGTTAATTTATTTATCGACACATTTTTAATATCAAATATAAATCAAACATCACTTTAATGTTTTATACCTCAATCATTAACATTCCAATACACTAGCGTCATCTTTTGTTGACTAGCTGTTTTAAATGACAATATTGCACATATTATTTAACTTAATTTATTGCCAAGAAGTTAATATGAAGAGTTTAAAGTAAAGTTCAAAAACTGACATTAATTAGCTTACCAGTTTTGACTTTAATCCTTGTTCCTGTTTTGGAGAATGTTCCAAAACACCGATACTAACCCCTTTTTTATTCACCGACAACGAAACTCCATCATTACCGGAATTTTTCACCAATTGCAGTTTAGATTGCATCATTTTCTTAGGTCTGGGCCTCGCGACTTCAAAACCGGGATGTTCTTTAAGCCACTTTTCCAAATTCGCAGCTGAAGGGGCTGCACTTCCAGATAAAGTTTTACCCGTTCTTCGATCGAAAACGACTACTTTTTCAACGCCTTGAGCGTGCTTAAGGATGCACTCATCGCTGCAATAAATCGAATTGCTTCGCGAGGATTTTCTGCATACTATACAAGCGGGTGATTTCGTAGATTCCGATGATAACGCGGAAGTTGACTTCCTTTGACTGCTTGCGCTGTCTGTTGAAGTGCGGGATGCGCGCGAAGCCTTTCGAACACGTCTGGCTGCAGCACTTGGTCGTTTTAAAGAATGATCCTAATATAATTACAATTAATAATGGGAACAAAAACGTTTCTGCAGTAAAAGTTTATGGCGTCAATTTAGATACATGTCTAAAAATCTTGTGTTAATAACACCGACCAGTTCTACTACATATGTGGTAAATTTTGTCAAGAAAAGCAATGAAGGAACATAAATGATTTAGTAGAACAAAGTTATTGGGCATCTTTTGGAAAACCCCCCACACAAAATTTGTAAAACTTGCGTGGAATCAGTTCTAAAGCTGGTGACATTTATTTTCCTAACTTTGAAGTTGTTGGATATAGATAACTTAACTTCCTACCTATTCATCAACCTATTTTGAGACAAGGAATCTGTGGTCCTACTATATTATTTCCTGGTCTCAGTATAGAAAAGTTAAAAGGAGGAATTTTTGATGGGCCACAAATCTGTACTCATATAAACAACGATGATTTCACACCAAACGACTTATGTAAGATCAATTGGAAGGATGGATAAGTTTTGTATCAGTTGTCAAACATTTTTTGGGGAATCATAAAGCTGAAATATTCTGAAGTAGTAGACAAAATGCTCCAGAATTTCTAAAAATTTGGAGCTAATATAAGTATCAAATAGCATTATTTGCGATTATTATAGCAAAGAATAACGAGAACGATTCCACCAGGACATCAAGGTTATGGAGGAAAGATATCAAGGTCGTTGGGATCGCCATATGATGGCAAACTACTGCTGGAAGTTGCAAGAATCAAAAACACCAAAGAAAATCTCATACAAAACGTTTTTCTCAAATCTTATTGATATGTTTTTGGTTTTTTAAGATTCATTTTATTATTTTTTGTATTTATACCACTTTATTTATTTAAAATCATTTGATAATAATAAAATAAAATACTCTCCCCTTTTTAAAATTAATTTCCAGTATAAATGGATTGCCTTTATCTTAAAAAGTAGAGTTAATTCAACAAAAATATTATTACTTTTGTATTCAGTAGACCAAAATTACCTAAAATTGACTAATAAACCCCATGCAGCAGAATCAGTGTTTCCTTGTATAATCGTTTTAATTTTTTTTACCTTACAATAGACGCAAATCCATTCTTTTCCTTCTTGTTCCATCATTTGACCCATCGCTTTAGTAACATTAACGCATTTTCCATGGTACCATTCTTCACAGGTATCGCAACAAATCATAAAGCGATTGTTATGGGGTTGATTGCAAATGCACCATAATTTATTTGGGTCATCTTCTGATTCCTCCTCTTCGTCTGAGCTATCCAATTCGTTCCCAGAGACATGTTGATCGTCTAATGGCTTCACCGGTCTAAATAAAAATGAAAAAAATTAATATTTCAGCTTAATGTAATCCTATGTATTGAGTATTGTTTGTTCTGTTACATATTTAATTATTTGTATATCTCGCGAAATTAACACGTGTTAGACCCACGTGTTTTTTCAAATGTAAACGGCCCAGATTTTTTTTTTGTTGCAGTTACAATACTCAGTACACGTAATTAATAGATTCCTTATAGATTAATACCAACACTATTTACATTTTTATTATATTGCTATTATTAGTCGCCATTGCGAACATGTTACAACTTGCAGAGTAAATGCCGGTTATATAGTGAGTGAACTTATCAACTAGCAGCACACGCGCACAAACAATCTCAACATCTGCGTGAGTTTTACACATGCGTCAGCTTTCATTATTTATAGGTGAATCTGTAGCTTTATATGCTGGATTCGCAATCTAAAAAGTTGTGAGTACTCATAACCTGTTTATCATAAGTTATGTTCGGTAAATATTAAGTTTCGAAGAAAAAATAATTAACCCATGATGATAAAAAACGAAATCAACAACAAAGGAGATTAAAAAGGTAAGTGAAGAACAAGTTTAGTAGCAACAAGTAAACGGTATAATTCAAGAATGATCATGTCGTTTAAAAATCGACAATTTTTTTTTTATCGACTGGAAGTTACTTTAAAGTTTCGACGTGACGTCATCGACCGTGCTAACCATATATTTAAATGCATATTTTCGGGTGAAATACGGTTGTTTCTTAGGTTTTCGACGCACGATGACTAAAATGTCGTTGTTTACCATCTATAAACTAAAGATAATTTCAGATCCACCTAATTTATTGATTTATTTCAGAATTTTGTGTAGAAATTCCACTAAACCCGAAACTTTCAAGTTCTAGGTCTAGTATTAGTTCTAGTTTTAGATGTTATTTAGCGTTAGATTGTGGTATATTTTTATTGAAAGAAAAATAGAACCAATACTAGACCTTGAACATTCTAGGTCTAATATTAGTTCTAGTGGTAGGTAGCGCTAGTTAGCATAAGATATCACTATGTTGCATATTTTATTGTACTAAAACTAGAACTAACACTAGAACTAGAAAGTATCGAACCGGAATATTTTTAGTTTTAGTGTTAGTTCTAGTTTTACACTAGCACTACAACTAACAACACCAGATTGAAAACTAGAATCATTCGGGTTTAGCCGTCTTGAGAGACGTGCGGCTAAATCCGAATGTTTCTAGTTCTTGGTCTAGTGTTAGTTCTAGTATTAACACAGAGTCTATTGACACACAGTCTATCTAACGACAGGTAGTCGTTATGCATTGAAACCCTAAGAAAAACAAGGTGTTTCATCCGAAAATACACATTGTAATCTTCCCTACTTTAGTGAAAATAACTTTACTTTTAAATTTATCAGATTGATTTAGTGTGTGGCTATAAAATAAACAATTTGTAGGTTAGGTGTTGGCCGGTTTAATAGGAAAATGCATGGCAGTGTTGCCACACAGAGGACGCTGTAGTACCGTACTTGAAAACGAAATTACCGTATTTTATATAAAAATACTGTACTTGTACTAAAAATGGCACACAACAGGTTTTGCGAAACAAATGCTATAAAATAAACTATAAACAACGTGCTTTTTTGTAAAACAGACAGGCAATAACATTTTTATGAATCGAAAAATGGCAAGTGTTGTACCATTTGGGAATCTTGACTAAACAGGTTATCTTTTTAAAATTCATTACCATGGGTGCTTTAGTACCCCTTTTTTAAAAACGGTGGGTCAAACTTAATACATTTTTCAATCTTCACTCAATCAGACTAATATTTTTCCGCAAAACTACCGACTTTTGTTGTTTGATTTGTGATTTCTATAGTAGCATAGTTAATAAGATTTACATTATTAATTAAGAGATATGGAATTTTATTCTTATTTTTACCAAAACAGGTATGGGTTGGTCCCTCGCGCGGTACCCGCTTGACGTTGAGTTTCGGGACACCTGTATATATCGGGTCACAAATGGAATATTATAAAATTTGAACACAGAATCAAGAATAGACACAAATATACAAAAATATTATACGCCAATATAATCAACGAAAATATTGTGTGCAATTAACGGCGATTTCTCATTGGTTATACTTATATGACAGTGTGGTTTACCATAGCTTTGTTCGTTGGGACTTCCTTACTCTGCAAGACATGGCATTAGTATGACGTCATAGTGCAATTTAGTGTAAGTAAGTGCAATGTTATGTCAACTGAGTGCAGGTTAGAAAAGTGTGTAAAGCGTGGTCGCAACGAACAGGTTTTTATCAAGAAAGTGTATAATAGTATTTGAAATGGACGAATAGGAGATTGTCAGCAAAATAGTCGCGGAAAATTATGCAGCAAAATCATCGCAGAATGTTTTTTTAGTAGCGATTCATTTGACAGTGATGTAGAATCAATTAATAATCATAATCTTATAGCGTTGTCAAGCACGTGAGGACAACCATAAGAAATTATTGCACTGAGGTAAAAATAAAATAATTTGGACATGGTGATATTCATAAGTAATTGATTTTAATTTGATTTTTTCCAAATATTTCGCCATCGTAGTTACACTGCACCGGTTGAACTTAACTGAAAGCAAGTTCAACAAAATCTGCACTAACTTGCACGAAATTGTACTGCGCACGGCCCAACGAACAGTATGAGTGCACTAAACTACACTATTCTCAACGAACACACATCATCTGCACTAAACTGCTTAGTGCAAGTAGTGCAGTCCCAATGAACAAAGCTTTTATATTGATTGAACAGCATTTTACGTCGCCTGTTACGACGCCCATCTGCGTACAGTACGTATTTTCTCAAATTAAATTACAGATTTCTAAATTACCGTATATTTTTGTACGATATTCCCCTTTGAACCGTACATTTAGTGGAATTACCGTACGTATGGCAACACTGATGCATGGTTAACATTGCTTGTGACATCATAAAACGTGACGTCACATCGAAACTTTATTGTGATTTTTCGATATGTTCTACATTTTTCCGCATTTTCTTTTTATTTTTAACGTGATTCTTGGGTCATTTCACATTAATTAAAAAAAATCGTGATTCGATTCTTGAATTTTTCCATTGTTTATAACTTCTTCCTGTGGCCAAAAACCTGAGAGTGGCAGACTCAAGTTTTTCTCATTAAATTTAGGTTATATTAAAATAAGCAAAATTACCAAAACTCTTGTTAGTAAAGTTGAAAGTAAAAATATTAAAACAGACCTTGTAACTTGCCTAACTTCCGTATTATCAACGCCCCTTCGATTCCTACTTCTTGTTGTTGGCCTTTCAATAGGTGGTAAAACTAGTACCCTTCCATCCGGTCGAATAATTTGAGTACCTTTAGGGGTAGTATTAGATGATTCGCCAAACGATGATGTCGCGTGCTACAAATATAAAAAAATAACTAAATGTAACACCAATTATTACTTTTAATTAAAAGAAAAAAAAAATAAATAAATCAAAAAGGGATAAATTAATATTTGCGGTATTTTTAATAAATTTTATTTAACTTATTTTTATTTTAGTTAAAATTTTTGGAAGAAAGGAAAAAACGGAAAAAAATCCAAATACAAAAAGCGCTTTATTAATTTTAGTATACATCAAAAAGACGAAAATTACCTGAACGTTATTCGATTGTGTTTGTTGATTCGATTGCAAAGATTGCTCTTCATTTAAATTTTGAAGTGACGGATCTAAAATTAAATTTCCATCAACAATCGATTTATCAATTACATTTTGCAAATCGGGATTTTCCGCTAAAGATTGCGCAACTTGATACAAAATATCTTCCGAAATTAAATCAGTGTTTATATTATCCAAAATCGATTGATCCAATTCTAATCCACCAGATTCCAATTGATTTTGATCATTACTTTCCATATCAGTTTCCGGTATTATTAAAGAAGTCGTAAAAGATTTCGTATTTTCATTTTGTATAATTGAACGAATATCTTCCGCTGAAGGAAGTGGTTCTAATTGCGACTCCATCATAGATTCACTTGAATTACTTCCAAGTGATTCATCATATCCTTGAACAGTAACTCGGCTTTCTTTTTTTTCTGTTGATTTATTTTGTTTATCTAAGCTGGTTCTTCGTGTTTTTTCATCTAATGAAATTCTTTTTTGATCAACACTGAGTCGTTTTTTAACGTCGTTACTTTTACTACGATTTTCCATTGAAATTTTAGCTGGTTTTGTTAATTTCGGTGTCTCTGGAGTGGTCGGTGTTGTTGGAGTTTGAGGTTCTTTACCTCCAACTCTACGTATTATATCAGGGGTTGAAAATAAAGCGAAATCATCGGGTGGTTTTGGGACTTTTTTCTCTTTTTTAGGGGTTTTTTTATCGGGTTGTTTTGATTCTGATTTTATTTCAATTTCTTTTTCGTTTTTAGGCGATTCTGGTTCAGGTTTAGGTTCTTTTTTAAATGTTTTTTTCATTTTTGGTGTATCAGTTGATCTTCTTGTTCGTGTTGATATCCCCCTTTTAATAATTTTGGGCTTCTCTTCCAACTCAAAATCAGAATCGTTATCATCATCTTCTTCTTCATTAAAGTGCTCATCACTTTCATCATCTTCAGCTTCTTCCTCATCTTGTGGTTTTGAAATTTTTGTGATTTTGTTAATTACAGCAATTTGTTTGGGTTTGGTTACATTTTGGGATGTTGTTATCATTTTAGCTTTTTGATTTCTATTCATTGATAAGGAAATAACTTTCCGAGATTTTCCAGGTTGTTTTGGTTTTATTTTAACAGGTTCTTCCACTGATCCATCTAATAAACTTAATGTGTGTGCTAATTCATCGATCGTTTCTGTTTGAGGAGACGGTGTTTGCCTTTTAGGAGACGTCAACGGCGTATAATCATGATCCATACGGAAATTTAATAAATTTCTTTGTAAATTATCCATGTCTTCTTCACTTTCTAAAAATTGAGTTTATATTTTAAAGTTTTTTGTCAAAAATGTCAATTATATGATAGTGAAGGTTGATTAACACAAAGATATTTACCTATAATTTCTTCAGAATGAATATATGTTAATGTATCTAATGTAATATCAATATTTCTCCCATCAGTTTTGTTCATATGCATCACTTGAAGTTCCGTTGCACCCGGTCTGTTATCTGTCATGGTTTCAAGTTAAATTACTTAAAATATGTTATGAATCACTTTTACAATTAAAACCTAATCAAAACTTACTTAAATAACTTTGAACTGTTTCTTTATCAGGAGTTACAGTACCATCTTCACCAATTACCAACAATAAACTGTCATTTCCTTGACTTTCAGTTACCTTAACAATTGAATGCGCCATAACTTGTTTTGACCTAACCTATAAATCAAAAATTTGACGTAAATATCCTTTTACTTTATAAAATACATAAATATTAGCTTAAAATCCATAAATTCGAATAAAAAATTAATAAAATTTAATGAGTTTCTTTAATGCCTTTATTTGAAAGTAAATAAATAGGATTTTAAGCAAATATTAACATAAATACATAACAGGGTTAATAATAACTTTATTTAAAACATCTATCAACTTTAAAAATAAGAAATTAAAAAAACAATGAATATTTACAAAATGTAATACAAAAAAATCGAATTTTTTTATCTTTTACGACCGTTTTAACTTCCGTTTACATAATACAAAAGGCTATCTTAAGATAAGATTAAAATACAATCTCCGTACACTATTTCCTCTTTATTTTTAATTGTTTTTGCCCGCCTTAAAGATTGATGATGATGGGTGGCTGCCGCACAACACCAAAGCCGCGCCGAAAAAGTGTTTCGTTCTGATCACAAACGCAGTTTCACGCACCCTACGCAATTAATATCGTTATTCTATACGCGCACTTACTCATTTTTAATCACTACAGGTCTTAAAAACGCGTAAAAGCTCTTCTTTCGTTACGTTATTTATTGATATAACGCGTCGGAACCATCTTGTCAAGTCGGCTGAAAGCACGCCAAAAAACGTCAATGATGGCAACCGCTTAGTGCGCTCTGTATTACCGATAGTGATAAATAAACAACTTTGTTCTAAAGATAAATTATTTGAAGGTCACATGTTTTATTTATAATTCACCAATTATTTAAGGAATTATTAATGTTTTTGCTGTTAAACGATCGGTTTGTGATTAATTAATTAATTAAATCGACTAATTTAAAAAACAATTTAATTTTACTTTTGTTATTAATCCAAAGGTGGTGCCACTTGTTTATCTCGTAATAATCACTTTATTCTAAATAAATATTGTTTGAAGTTCAAATATTTATTATTAGATAATGGAATGATTTAAAATTTGTTTATTTGTTAAAATTTATTTATGACTTATTCAAATTATTTATAATTTTGAAATTTTCCGAAAGATGGCGCTGAATCAAATCAATTTTCAAATTTTAAATTCAAATTGAATGTAATTAATAACAAAAAAATTATTTATACAAATAATCATTTTTAAGCATAAAACTTATTATTGTTTTTACTTTTATATAAATCTTTTTAAAACAATTAATAAACAGCTTACTATGCAATCTTAATACAATTCAACTTTAAAAGACATTTTCCTGTGTCTCAACAGGATATCACGTATTGATTTCCTATGATTTTATACGCAGAACGTATATCGATTATTGTTTATTTCATCAGTATTGATTTGCGTTTTGCAAGAAAAACAATGAATTCATTCTCCCCAGCGAAAAAAGGTAAAACGAGATAAGCTCAATTCGTTAAGAATTATTATTAGGGAGTTCATTAATATTAATTTATTAACTGGAGATAAGTTGATAAGATCAATTTAATATAATTGTTTCAGTTGTAATAATATCGTTGAAGCTTTAACAATAAAAAGAATTATGTGTCTATTTCAGCTGCGTTACAAAGTGATGAATACAAGAATATTTTAAAACAACTTCAGCCTGGTTGTACAAAAACTTATCCAATGAGATCCATTAACAAGTAAGTAAAAAATTCGAATACAAACAAAAAAAAGAGAAACTTTATTAAAAAATCTCTCACGTAGTCGTTGTTTGGCATTAAATTTGTCGTCTTTGAAAGGAAAAGTAGAAATTCTTGGGTATGTTTGAGATGTTGAGTTGTGGAGATGTCTCTTGGAACTGGATAAAGAGGCACCGGCTTGCAGCGGTTAAGGTCTTTAAGTGGAGTTTTGATCAGATCCCTTTATGGCTTTCGAGCGATTCTTTTTTATGGGACGAGAAGTCCGCGAAAGGTGACACCTTTGCTGCAATATAACGTTACCTTGCGCTGTTCGCATCGAAAGAGAAAACCGTAAAACTATCACTTCGAGAGTCAAGTCCAGTTCGGACGATGACTTGGTTTTTTTTTGGGTTCGATGGCCAAACCCACCCATATTTTAATCAATTCATGGATTTTTTACACGAAAAAGATATTCCAAATTTAAAATCAATTGTTTTAGAGAGATTAATGCAATACAAATAATCCTTGAATTCATATCGAGCATATTAGTATATTATGGTTCAAAAAGTAATATGGCATAATCGATGTAACCTTTCCAAATCTAAACACAGTTTTGTTACGATTTCCTACATCACAAACTATTTGTATCCAAAGCGATGGCATAAAAGGTAAACGTGCCAACATGATGTGTGAGCAGAAAATGACCTCAACTGGTTTGCAAATCCTTACAACTCATTTATGTATATGATTTACTTCCTTGTGTCTACTACTGTTATTTGTGAAAATCTATTGCCATTAAAAAACTGTATTCAATTCTTGTTTAATAAAATGATCCACCATGCTAAAAATGTCACACAACTGCCATTCTGAATTATAGAATCATTTAATCACAGGCCATTCCAGTTAATTTTAAAAAATCGTGAAAAATCGAATTGTTAAGTTATCGTTATGAAATTTTCAGAAATAATACAATAAAGTGTCATCTTTTTAATGAAAAAAACTGTTTTTGAAAATATCAATTAGTTCTTGAAATAAAAACTTTTATACAGCATTCAGTTTTTGTAATACAAATTTTTTGAAATCAACTTTAAAAATTCGTGAAAAATTGATTTTCTTATAAATCAATACGAAATTATCACCACTTATTAAGAAAATTATGAGCTTTTCAATGAAGAAAACCGCATCTCAAAGTTTCTTTTGGTTTTTGAGATATTAACTTTTAAATTGATTTTCGTCACCTTGTAACGTTTTGTTTAATCATTCGATTTTAAAAAAATCGTGAAAAATCGAAATGTTAAGTTATCGTTATGAAATTTTCAGAAATAATACAATAAAGTGTCATCTTTTTAATGAAAAAAGCCGTTTTTGAAAATATCAATTAGTTCTTAAGATAAAACTTTTTATACAGCATTCAGTTTTTAAAATAAAAATTTTTTGAAATCAATTTTAAAAATTCGTGAAAAATTGATTTTCTCATAAATCAATACGAAATTATCACCACTTATTAAGAAAATTATGAGCTTTTCAATGAAGAAAACCGCATCTCAAAGTATCTTTTGGTTTTTGAGATATTAACTTTTTAACTGATTTTCGTCACCTTGTAACGTTGTTTAATTATTCGATTTTAAAAAAATCGTGAAATATCGAATTGTTAAGTTATCATTATGAAAGTATAATCGATGTAACCTTTCCAAATCTAAACACAGTTTAGTTCCAAAGCGATGGCATAAAAGGTAAAGGTGCCAACATGACGAGTGAGCAGAAAATGACCTTAACTGATTTGCAAATCCTTACAACTCATTTATGTATATGCATTATCCTTGTGTCTACTACTGTTATTTGAGAAAATCTATTGCCATTAAAGAACTGTATTCAATTTTTGTTTAATAAAATGATCCACCATGCTAAAAATGTCACACAGCCTTAAGGAAGCCTTACGAAATATAGAAATGTTAAATTTTGATCGTTTTGAAGTATCATAATACGACGTGGTTTACATAGTGTTGTAGGCGTGAGCAGAGTTCGAGTGAATATCGAGCAGATTTCGACTTAATCTAGTAAACATAACTGACCTTATCAAATATTCCTTAACTGAGAGTTTTTTTATCAAATATTTTTGACAGTTAATATAACCAGTCTAATTGAGGTTGGAAAATGAATTCTTTATTTGAAAGTTATTAACAGTGGTAAACATAACTGAAGTATCAGCAGAGTATGACAACTGCCATTCTGAATTATAAAATCATTTAATCACAGGCTATTCCAGTTAATTTTATTTTCTGCCCCCCTTAACAGAATAATTCTTTTTAAAGGAAATTCTATAAATCTTTTAACCAGAAATATTCTTTTTATTAAATAAATTTATTTCAAACCGTATAAAAATCCATTTGCTATTTAAATCAATTAGAATAATCTTTTTAGTTTCGTCTAAACCCAATATCACGTGTCTTCTGGTCACCAGGTCATCCACGGTGAAGCTACAGCAAAGCGGTTGATTATCTTTTCAACAATCAGTATCTCGTCTCACTATTCACCTGAAATAGACATCGTGTAATAAAACTTGTCCCTCTATTCGTCGCCGGCGCGTTTTGAAAACCTTCAAGTGCGCTTCTATTGCGATTTATCCGATTTCCCGACTACAACGGGTGTTCATTCGCGCGTTTGCCTCCCAACGGCTCGTTTTACCAACGACGAAGGTCGTCGATACGACCAGTTGAACCCCAAAAAGAACCTTCTCGATTCTCTCAGCTGGACCGCGCAGAAGACGTGAAAGTCCTCTGAGTTGTGTATACGGACGGTTCTACGCTTGTACGATTTTCTTTAGTCTCCAGTTGATCATCAAGAGAATTTCATCGATTACAAAAAAGAATTTTTTTTGGAAAAGTTTTAATGGAGGGTTAAGTGGTGTATGTTTTTCGAGATGCCTTCAGAAGCCCTATCCGTGGCGGTTACCACTGGGTTGGGTGTGAGCGTTTTAGCTGGACTCCTTTCGGGAATTTGTTATATCTTAAGCCAAGGATTGGGAAGACGCAGGTATTGTAAAAAAATTTACGTAATATTTGCTGATTAAATAAAAATTTGTTTGGCACGTGATGAATGACGACGATGCTGAGATGTTTTTAGTGTGATTTACGATTTATGTACTTTTTACGTGAGTTTTATAGCTAAGGTTAAACATGGATTATTTTTTATTATACTGGGTGAGTCAGTTAATTGCTCAAAAGAAGACTCAATTAATTCAAAAATTTCTTTCTCATGTCTCAATAATATTGATTGTAAGGAATTTTTTACGTTCTCCTCATCTTCTATCGTTGATTATTGTCCTACAAACATGATGATATCTGCCATCGTTAATGTTAGCTTTCCTCTCGACATACATACCTGCAATATTTTCTCCCATTTGTTGGAAGGTACTTGCTCTTAATTGGCTATTATTACACATTCACTTCAATATTTTTTTAAGTAGCATTTTAATAATTATTACGATTTCATCTATTATTATAAAGATGTCTTTACCTAATTACATCTTATAATTGCGAAAATAGAAAATGTGGATTATTCATCAACGCAGTTAATTGCCTATTTTATAGTCTTATTATGTCCGCGATAACTGCTCAATTCGATGCACCAACGAGCGTTGAAAAGTATTTATCTCATATTTCCATCATAATTATCCGATTTCTTTTATCACACTTTAATAAACTTAAATTATACGTAGAATTTTTGATTGAACTTTTTACTTACATAAGACATCATTTCCATATACATTTTAGTCCTATTTGAAATAAGAATTACGCGCTCACTACCTTTTTTTATTTTTTTATAGGAATAAGAATCATAAATACGGTTATTACGAAAATCGTAGCTATTTTACAATCACTTTTATTGTTGTTAGTACTTTTTATTTCGTTAAACGATGATCTAATAAGTAGCTAGGTTTTATAATGGGATTAAATTGTATGTTTGACTGTTATACAATTACCATAGATAAATTAATTAGGTGCAAAAAGCGTTTAAATTGGACGTGATTGTGTTAACTTTCTATGGTTAAAGTAAAAGCCCATTTCATAAATTTTAATAACACTACAAAATGTATTTGTATTTAATTATTTGGGTATTAAAGTGTACTCTTATACAATTTCATGGCTTTATTATTTATTACTGTAGGCGATATTATTTGTTTGATTTATTATTTAAATAATTTTAAGAATTTTTAGTTATTTATATGGAAATTTTTTAAATAAGTCCTTGAAAACAACAATAAGTATAAAGTTGTATTAACCTTTTTTAGCAACTCCACTGTTAACTGAGTGATAAATGAGTTTGTAAAGCTTAGAGATGCTGTTGCATTTTCCAAGAAGCGTAATAAATATAATGATTATTATATTTAATCACTCGATTTTAAAAAATCGTGAAAAAGCTAATTTTTAAGTGATCATTATGAAATTATCAAAAATAATACAATAAACTGTCAGCTTTCTAATGAAAAAACCCGTTTTTGAAAATATCAATTAGTTCTTAAGATAAAACTTTGTATACCGCATTCAGTTTTAGTAATAAACATTTTTTTAAATCAATTTTAAAAATTCGTGAAAAATTGATTTTCTCATAAATCAATACGCAATTATTACCACTTATTAAGAAAATTATGAGCTTTTCAATGAAGAAAACCGCATCTCAAAGTATCTTTTGCTTTTTGAGATATTAACTTTTAAACTGATTTTCGTCACCTTGTAACGTTATGTTTAATCATTCGATTTTAAAAAATCGTGAAAAATCGATTTCTTAAGTTATTGTTATGAATTTTTCAGAAATAATACAATAAAGTGTTATCTTTTTAATGAAAAAACCCGTTTTTGAAAATATCAATTAGTTCTTAAGATAAACCTTTTTATACAGCATTCAGTTTTTACGATAAAAATTTTTTGAAATCAATTTTAAAAATTCGTGAAAAATTGATTTTTTCATAAATCAACACGAAATTATCACCACTTATAAAGAAAACTATGAGCTTTTCAATGAAGCAAACCGCGTTTCAAAATATTTTTTGGTTTTTGAGATATTAACTTTTAAACTGATTTTTCTCACTTTGTAACATTATATTTAATCATTCGATTTTAAAAAAACGTTAAAAATCGAATTCTGAAGTTATCGTTATGAAATTTTCAGAAATAACACAATAAAATGTCATCTTTTTAATGAAAAAACCCGTTTTTGAAAATATCAATTAGTTCTTAAGATAAAACTTTTTATACAGCATTCAGTTTTTACGATAAAAATTTTTTGAAATCAAATTTTAAAAATTCGTGAAAAATTGATTTTTTCATAAATCAACACGAAATTATCACCACTTATTAAGAAAATTATGAGCTTTTTAATGAACAAAACCGCATCTCAAAATGTGTTTTGGTTTTTGAGATATTAACTTTTAAACTGATTTTCCTCACCTTGTAACGTTATTTTTTATCATTCGATTTTTAAAAAATCGTGAAAAATCGAATTCTTAAGTTATCGTCATAAAATTTTCAGAAATAATACAATAAAGTGTTACCTTTTTAATGAAAAAAACTGTTTTTGAAAATATCAATTAGTTCTTAAGATAAAACTTTTATACAGCATTCAGTTTTTGTAATAAACATTTTTTTAAGTCAATTTTAAAAATTGGTGGAAAATTTATTTTCTCATAAATCAATACGAAATTATCACCACTTATTAAGAAAATCATGAGCTTTTCAATGAACAAAACCGCATCTCAAAATATCTTTTGATTTTTGAGATATTAACTTTAAAACTGATTTTCTTCACCTTGTTCACGTTATGTTTAATCATTCGATTTTAAAAAATCGTGAAAAATCGAATTCTTAAGTTATTGTTGTGAATTTTTCAGAAATAATACAATAAAGTGTCATCTTTTTAATGGAGAAACCCGTTTTTGAAAATATCAATTAGTTCTTAAGATAAACCATTTTATACAGCATGCAGTTTTTACGATAAAAATGTTTTGAAATCAATTTTAAAAATTCGTGAAAAATTGATTTTTTCATAAATCAATACGAAATTAGCACCACTTATTAAGAAAATTATGAGCTTTTCAATGAAGAAAACCGCATCGCAAAATATCTTTTGGTTTTTGAGATATTAACTTTTAAACTGATTTTCGCCACCTTGTAAAGTTATGTTTAATCACTCGCTTTTAAAAAATCGTGAAAAATCGAATTCTTAAGTTATCGTTATGAAATTTTCAGAAATAATAGAATAAAGTGTCATCTTTTTAATGAAAAAACTCATTTTTGAAAATATTAATTAGTTCTTAAGATAAAACTGTTTATACAGCATTCAGTTTATCTATGTTTAATCTTTAGAATTTAAAAAATCGAATTCTTAAGTTATCAATATGAAACACCACATCCTTGAGAAGCAGGTGTTTGGATTTCGAAATTACAACAAATCACGTTTGGTCTAACTGACCCAGATGCTTCGAACGATTGACTCCAGAGCAACTTGGGAATACTTGATCACTTATCTGAAAATCAGCAGATATGTTATCTTCGAAATATTGATGATTTTATAGTTGATTTAGTAGCTCAAATTCAAAATCGTCTGCTAATTACAAAAATATTCATAAGTTATTTCTGTCCTACATTTATTACGATTATTTTAAGAAAACAAATCAACCTGGAGTTTTTTTAACGTAACATATTTTATAATAAAGTTATTCGTAAGATTTATTGCGACATTAATGCCAAAACACCGTTAATTTATGCAAATAAAAAGCGTCACTTTACTATATTGTTAGATAGCGCGTTAGTAATAATTAACGAAACATCGTATGGTAAGCAAAAAAATGCCGTTTCACGATTTACGAGTTAAAAGTCTTAATAATTACCAAGAAACTTTTACTATGATACAAGTAATCGAGAAATTACCAATTCAAATTTAATGCTTGAAAGAGCGACCAAAAGGTTTTAAAAGGCTTATTATAAAGGTATTTAAAAAATAAAGAGGTAGTCGATAAAGCCCACCACTTTTTATAAACAGTTACCTATGTGTTGTTGTTCCGGTCAACCAGAACGACGTTGTAATTACCTTACTTCCGGCGAAATTCAGTCCTCTATAAAGCTCATACCGTTGTTATACCTCCCGTCTGCAAAATCAACGTTAATTTATATTGTGAATTATAAAGAACATTTTCAAACGGATTTTCCACCTCGGTTAATATTAAATCTTACAAATCGCATTTACAATTAATGAGATAATCGAAATAGTTGTGATTATGTAGTTTAGTAATTGTGTTGTTGGTTTACTGGAACGGTTTGAAATTTATGCTTGGCTTAATCGTTTTGTGTTATTACAAATCAAAGTGTGAATATTTTCTAAAGGATTAACCGTTTAATCGTTCATAATTACAGTAAGAAGCGTGAGAGAATTTCAAGAAGATTTTGAATAGTGAGTAATAATTTGAGTCGCAACAATTTTATTCTTCAAGTTAAAATGAGAAAATTTCATTTCGATTATGATTCTTTTTGGTATCAATACATGCTTCGGTGCACTTTCATCGTTCGACCTTAGTTGTTTCATGGATTTTGCTCATATATTCTAAAATAGTACTAGTAACCTAAATGTTTTAAAATAGAAAGCTTCGATTTATTATTAAGGTTGGTAATTGTGGTATTGTATTTATTTATTTTTTAAGTGAAGGTTTTGAAAATAGTTGTAAAGCAGTTAAATGAGAAGATAAAGAGAAATTTTTTTTATGTCAACATTAGAAATACAATGATAAAATGACAACTTTCAGAAGTTTTCTACAATAGCTATTGTGATGCATCTTGTTAAGTAAGATAACCTTGTGAATCACTTTCTTAATAGTATATAATGCAAAAACTAATAAAAAAGTATTTTATATATAATGTAGGTTGAATATGTAATGTAGTTTGACCTTTTGTTAAAAATACTTTTTGCTGTCTTCTACTATTACCAGTCTTTGTAGTAACACAATCAAGCCAATTTTGCTTTCATTATCCATTATATTAACC